AAATCGTGATTTTATTTAAAAATGGCCGATTCAATATGGCCGATTAAAACGTCATTTTATTGAAAATTGTTAAAATTTGTTTAATTAAAATGTAAATTGGTATAAATGTTATTGGAAGATGTATGGGATTCAATTCGCAGCGCGCGCCTGTTATGTACTAGTTATATAAAATATACACCTTCTGTCTTTTGCTTTAATTTCATAAGATAATTGTTCTTATTTCAAGATATTGATTTGGACTTTCAAATTATCCGATGTATAATTTGACATATGTTTAATTCATTCCACATAAATAAATGCATATTAGAAAAAAAAGATAATCGCGGAAATTAAGAATATTTAAAAGGAATGATTTATTTAGAAAGAAAAAGTAATTTACATATACTGCTAGAGAATACCGCAATAGATATAATATATATATATATATATTCGAAGAAAGATTCAAATCACAGTACTCTTACGTAAAAAAATAACGCACTTGATTTGTAATATGTGAAAGATATCATTGTAATAAGCACAATTACACTGCACATAATAGTCACCATGCATTCATGCCATAATCATTTCTTAATCATATTGATACTCACGAACTTTATTTCCAATGAAACGCTATTTTGTAGACATAGAGTGTGTTTTAGCGTAAAATATATTCTTTTTCCATAATATTTGAATTATTGTTCACTGATTATTACATTTTATCTTTAATAAATTATCATATAATAGGAGATACATGTCACACACAGTGAAAGCTATTTTGAATACTGGACTTCTCTTTCTCGATATTTATACCTTTTAATTGAATTATAACCAAATGAAAACTTACCCGCTGGCGCAGGAGCCGATGGCTTAATCGCCGAAGCGCTGACAAGATTATCCAAATTGACGAGCGCAGAATTCTCTCCTAAGAAGGATTGTGGTGTCTTTTTCACAGCACCGGTACTGGCAGGAAGGGTTTCAGCTATGCCACCCAAATCGAAGGGATCTCCACCTGATGATGCCGCACCACCTATTTTAAAATCATGTAACTTTATTATATAACTTCAGAGTAGACATTAATGTTGCGTTTCACGGGGAAATTTTTTTCATGGCTCAAGTACCGTTGTTCACCGTCTGCGGACTGGCTCCGAGTTTTCCTCTGTTAGTAATCACGTCAAATTCATCTAAATCGCTGAGGGGACTCGTCGTAGCGGCGTTACCGTTGTTCTGAGTAGAAAAATTATTGAAGCCCGGCCCCGTGCCGTTAAAACCGTTGCTAGTGCTGAAGGTGGTGGCCGAAGATACCGGCGGCAAATTGAAACCTATATTCTGAGGCGACGATACCGCGAAGCCGATGTTATGCGTCAAGTTTGAATTGTTGAAAGATGGTGACGGGGATGTTACGCCATCTTGAGCAGCCTGTAACAAGAAAATTTCAGATCAATGTATTATCATTGAAACATTGTATAACTACTAATTGAGTTAAACTTTGAAGGACATGTCTGTATTACCTTATTCGTCTCAGATTCGGTAGTAGTAGCAGGCGGAGCTGGTGACCAAGGATCGTTGGTACGCGGAGAAGATGCGACTGTAGCGGGAGATGGGGCAGGTGCACGCCACGGATCGATAGTGGCAGCTACAATTAAATTGTGATTTGAGTTTAGCCAAATGATTATTATCAAATGTTATAATAAAAAAACTGAGAAAAACTTAGAACACTGCTTTTCGTCAAATGTTACAATAGAAACAAAGAGCAAGCGTATTCTCGACAAGGATCCAAATCTACTCTAATAATTTATGAGAAAAATGATGGAAAAATTAACTAATTATACCTGAGGATCCTGAGAATTATCGGAAATCGTCAAAGAACATGCAAAAAGAATATAAATATAGGGATTAAATAAATATGTAATCATGTAAAAAAGCACGTTACCGCGAATGTATAATGAAACTCACTTGGTCTTTGTGGAGGAACAGGCGTCCACGGGTCTACCGCGGGTGACGTGGTACTCGTTGTTGGAACACTCCATGGGTCGTTTTGCGGCTGTAAAATGAGAACGCTATTATTCTTTCTATATTTTGTTAATCATTCCAATGAGATATGTGTTTTGTTGATTACTCTAATAATGTTATTCCACGCCTATATGTTCTTCTAAATACATATTTAATGTCCTCTAATATTTATCGGACATACCTTATACATATGAAATTCAGACAAATCCAAAGACTGTTGTGTATCATGCAAAAACGGTACAATTTCGTGTTATCGTGCAAAGTACGATTGTTAAATCAGCGACATGATTAGCAAATACCTGTGGTCTAGGCGGTGGTGCTGTTATCGGGATACCCCAAGGATCAGTTTGTACAGATGAGCCGCTTGCTTCTCCCAAATTTACATCGAGTAAATCTAGCATATGACTTTGCTTCTCAGGGACTCTGAAATTCATACGCATGGTATTGCCCCGTGAATACAAAGTCCTTTTTTTTTCCATATCGACTTACTAGATTACATTGGATTCCGTTGATAACTCACTTAAAATCTTGCTGACTTTGACTGAGAGCTAACTGCAATCTAACGTCATCGCTGCGTCTTCTTTGTTCTTCTTGCTCCGCTTCTTCTCTAGACATAGCCAAGGCCAGCTGCAGTTGTAATTCTTCTTCGCCTACCGTTTGCGGTCTTGCGGCTTCCAATTCCGCTGGAAAATACACTTGTTGTGTTAATTCTTATGTAAAGTAATTAACATTCGCACATTTGATATATTCGCGCGAGAAATAAATGAGATATGATGAGAGAATTTAGGTCAAACGTAGAATTTTCTCTCTCGTCTTATTTGAAATAATCTTAATTTGGAAGATATTGATAAAAAAAATATTACAAAATACTAGCGTATGCACTATAAAGAGAAACTTACTTGCACGTCTAGTCGCTGATTCGGATAAGTGACAAGGTTCCCACTCTTGAAACTGAAACAAGGTAATAACATATAATAAAACGTATAAATTTATATTATAATTTTTAATTATTGATTGATAACACATTACTTACATCACTGCTAACAGGTGACATTGTGTCCAAACCGTCGCTCCCAAAACCACTAACCGATTGTGCAAATCTCTCTTTTGCCTTCAATGCTCTAGCTCGCTCATTTCTCAATCTCTCGTCATCTTTTAATAAGGCCACTAATTGTTTTGCTTTTTCCCGCACGTTAATTCCTTGATCTTTGTGCCCATCCATGTATTGAAAGTCTATGCAAAAATATAAATAAGACTGTGTTACAAAATTTATGGGAATCTCTAAATTTGTATATTAATTACAAATGTACGCCAATACATTTCTGCGTTTTATTAATATACAATTTGAATTTTTCAATAATATATCACACGTATAAATATTTGATCCATATATTATTAAATAAAATTCTAATAAAATTTCACGTTTATTACCTTTTAAGGTTTGGATGGCAAAAATATTCTCTTTGCATTGTTGCGCTACTTTTTCACTTCCTGTCTTAATAAGATATTCTAAGAGAACTAAGGCTTTGTATACATGTCGCCAGTTTTTCCCATGATCATTCAATCTTTTCCATAGCATTTGCATAATTTCCGTAAACGCTACAACATTGTATGTTAAGTCGGCGATTTCTGCCATAAGTGTACTACTTGGACCCCAAGGATCATTGCTGGTAGCTTTTCGTACAGCTTTCTATAGGAAAAAGTAGTAATTATCTCACATTAATATTTAAAATGTTCACATGTTTAGTTTTTTATTCATTTTTCACTTCATTTAAGATATTCTCTCTTTTTAAATATTTCCTTAATATTTTTACATATTAATGATGAAAAATAACATCAAGTAATGCAAAAAGATTTTACTAATCACCTGGGCATTGCTATAATTATGGGCGAGATTCATGATGTCTCGCCTAATACCCGCCAGATTGACCTGCATTACGTCTTGCCCTTGTCTTCTCATCTAAAATATTATCACTGTATGTTATTCAATTGTAGTATTATGTACCTTGGTTTTAGAGACCCATATTTATTATCGTATTTATTCCAATACAAAAGAAAAAAATTATATATTGTTGCAGCTTTATTTACAGGATCCATATTATATTATATGAAAACTCATGGTCTTTCCAAGACCTATAAATTATTTAACCTTGATCATTTAATAATTTAATCTTTCGTGTAGCCTATAATTGCTATAATATAAAAATAATAACAGGTCAATTATGACGCAAATAGCGTCTGATAATAAGTATGGATATTTTGTTTACATGAAAGCCATGCACCTATAAGTATGCATTATTTCAAACATTACAAACCTAGTAATATTAGCACCAAATTTCAATAAAATATAATTATGAGTCAATTAATTAAGCAGGAAATTTAGAGCTAAAACCAAGGCATGCGTAAATTAATTAAATTACAACAAATGAAATTATAAAAAACAATAGAAAGAAATATAAGTTGCAGAAAGAGATTATCATATATAATCAAAGTTAAAATTGATAAAAATAAATACAATTATATCTATGTATATATACTATGGTTTTCGTAATTATATCATAAAAATGTAAAATAAAATTGTACTTTCTCTTAAATATCGTAAGAATATGTAATTGCATACAAGTAAATAAAATTATACCATACCACTAAGCAAAGAAAATACAATACAATTTATATTTATCATTTTTATTTTAAGATATTTACTTTAGCACAATTTACCTGATTAATTATTGAATAATGTATATAAGAAATGCTTACATAGTAAAGTTGTATAAACATACGTATAAAAAGTCATTGAATTTTAAGAGAATAAAGAATACCTATACATATATTTTTTAATATCATACGGTGATTTTTTATTCTTTTTGAGATGTGCCTATATGAATTTATAATTAATATTATCTGTCTCTCTTTTCTCCTTATTACCTTTGAGATAGGTATTATTTATAGAAACTACATATATAATGGTATAAAATTTAAAACGCCTAGATAGTCATATAACAATATTTAATGCAATACTGACTTGCATAATGTACATTTGTCATTATCAGTTTCACACTATCTATCATCACGTTATTTTGCCGGGAAACATTGCAAACTAATAAAGTGCATTATAATAAAAAACTGAATTAAAATAATATATATATATATATATATATATTTATATATATATTACATAACACACATAACACAATAACTCCTTGTAAAAAAACATCAGATTATCTTTACAAAAATGAATAGATATTATTCATTGTAAGACAGAAATCTCTTCTAATAATATGCTCTGATATTAAATATCATATTACGAGTGAGTACAGTTGTTAATTCAACAATCGTGAACATTATTGGCATTTACCTTCTGCATCGCCATTCTTGACTAATGAAATATCGCTGGCGTTGTTGATGAAGCTCTAGGTTTTGCCCAGAAATATAGAAAACTTCCAAATACTCCAAATCACAACAAAAGCCTAGACTATCAGATGATATGATAAATAAGTATGAGAAATTTTATATACAAAATTTGTCACACCTTAAATGATACATCATTTTGCGTATGAATGATAATGACACATTAATCTGTTAAATATTATGGTATTATGCAAATGAATATTACATGAAATTTTTTCTAAGTTATCCGAATCTCAAATGGATTTTGTATGTAGATTGTGCATGTGCGCGAAAAAAAATAATAGCAATGCACTTGTGTTTAATACGTTTCTGAATCGCTAGTATGACAAAAGGTTGTATTCATGGTAATAACAGCAACTATATTAATTAAAAAAAAAAAAAAATTTTAAATATTGGATCTTGTTTTTAATAGGCACAGCTCATATATTCCCTACATTTCTTTTCTCAAGTTATGCATAATAACTTAGATGATTAATAATATTATGTTACAATAACGAAATTGATGTCGCAAAAAATATTGATAGATATGAAAATCTCGTGATATAATAGCTGCACATCTCATTGAGAGAATGTAAAGGATAATTTCATTCCTACACATGCACACAAGCGGCATGTTAAATAATGATTTAAATTCAATTAACGTTGATCATAAACTTTTATTGTTTAAAAATTGAAAGATCCAGAAGATCCGTGACATCAAACGTACGCGCGCACGTTTGATTTTTAAAAGTCCAAAAACCAGAACTTTTGTAGTTATTTTATTGCTCCTGTCCTTTATAAAGTTTTTGACAAGTAAGCCGCTAATTTGAGAAAAGTAAAAACTATGGTTCAACCTGTTAGAAACGTTCGACCTACAGGGAGGAAATCTATCGTTAAGACTAGCCCTATTTACAAATGATAGAGCGCATGCAGAAAGTTTGCGGGAGAAAATCCACTTACACTGATGGAGGTAAAGATGTACACCTTCCTTTAACGAATTGTAATTGCTATTCTGGAAAAAGAAAAGAAGAACTTTATCGCAAGATTCAAGGCATGTTTCTGTTGTGTTCACTGCTTATCTTATCACAGGGTATGATTTTAGTCTCTTCATCGGAACAATGTTATCAATCCGTCTAACGATAATAATTAATATACAAAAAAATAATACCAATTCTTCTCCGATATCTAAATGTCGCTTGAATTAGCAATGCCTTGAGATTTTTCAAGCTTGAGAATTCTAGGAAATGTTTTTCGATGTTGTTATTTCCCCTTTGAATCTAAAATCTTCAATACCAATCCATCACCACATTTATTCAACAGATATATCGACAGATATATGTTATTTAATATTTGATTCTTCATAATCACATGTGCCTGCTTTCACGCTAACGTCTTTTTCTTCTTGCTGTTGAGCATGACTATGCAAATATCATCACTCGCAACTGTTTGCAAAAAGTAAAGAGTATAAACACATAGCTAGCAGAGAGCTAAAAAAGCGTTATCTGTTACACGAAAGACTATACAAGTCAGCTGAGATCCTTTGTAAGGCTTCCTTCTGTCATGTTAACAGTATTATACGTATAATTGACCGTGAAAGTATTGATCATTGTCCTCTCTCTGTCCTTTGGCACCACTCGATTAACTTTCTATTCCGCGTGTAATAAGTTCTCACGTGTGTCGAGATTTCTGACAACTACATCGGAGTTGGGAAACGGCGACAGAGTGACGAGCGGTAAACAGTCTGCGGGAATCAGCGTACATGTTTCAGAAATTTTGCAAAAGGATCACGCGAAAATGATAACATCTCAAGGCATCGCGCGTTCGAAAACCGAAGAGTATACCATCGAGATCCTGGTTAACGTGTGTCAACGCGTAGCACGAAAACGCGCGCGGCGCGCGTGGAGGAGAGACGACGGGAGAGAGAAGCGCAAGCAGGAAATTATTGTTATTGTACAATTGCTGCTAAATCCCAGAGGTCGAGTCCACCTTGCCGCGCGCTCCTGCTGCGGGTGAACGCTCCGCCGCACGTTGGAGCTCCGCGGTCGGGGTCGGAATGACACGACGCGATACGAAGACGACGACGACGACGACGACGACGACGACGGCTACGATGATGATGGTAATGATGACGGTACGAGCGAGGAGAAACGAACGCACGCCGTTCCGCTCCAGCCGTGTGACTGGCGAAGCGCGCTATGCGCTTAGCGCGTATCCGCCCACCGAGGGAACTGGGAACCTCGCGGTCGCGTCGCACGCGTAGATTCGCGAGTAGATGTAGGTATATCGATGTATACGTGACACGTCAATCTCGCGGAATATCGTCGTTATGGCCGAGGTCGAGTTCGGAGCGACGGCGATGACGGCGGCGACGGGCGCGGCCGCTCCCGTTTTTCCCGTTTCGTTTCGAGTCCCCCAAAGGACGGACAACGTCCGCGGCGGCTGTCGCGCAAGGTACCTCGCACCGCGCGGATCCCCGTCGCGTCCACTCGACTCTTACTTGACCGAATCACGATGATGACAACAACGACGATGATGACGACGACGACGACGACGACGAGGACAATGGTAGCGACGGAACTTTCGTACTCACCTTGCGCACGCGGGGGCAGTACCACTCGAAAATTTGGAAACGCGGAGCTCTCCAGAGCGAAACGGGGAACGGGGGATAGAGAGGCGAAATAATAAGTAAGACACTTATGACAAGTCCATTCACAGGCACTGACGAATTGTACGATTGCGAGGCAAGATGGCGCTCGAAAAATATTTCCGCTCCGCCCGCCGCGCCCGCGCACGAGCGTCGCATTCTGATTTCTGCTCCGAATTCGTTCCTGAATCGTGCGTGTTTTAAAAGGCAGAGGATCAACTTCATTCGGATCGACTTGGCCTTACGTCTAATTACACAGGCTGCGTTGAGGGAACGTGTCATTCTTTTTCTCCTTGTTTTACGCTTAATAAAGATAGAATGACACAATAAAAAAATTGTTTGTTAAACAGCCATTTATAGTATATACTATATATAAATGAAGAGGATATCTGTTTTCTTGATTCTTTAATCATTTCTCTTTATTCACTTGTTAGTGTTTATAATAGACTAGATTGATTTTACAAGTGATTTACATTGCAATCTGATCTCACGGTCAGTAATTCGTTTCTAAGCTGTTACAAGAGTAATCGCAAGTACAATACATCCTTCAGTTATGTCATTCAATATGCATACATATCTAGTTAAGGCACAATAAATCAAAATTGCACTCAGAAGAAACATTCTGAGGGCAACACTGTCTCTGCAAAGAGGTCAAAATTAATGAATACGTAAATATATAATGACTCAGAATTAATATTCAAACACTGCCATTTAATTTGAAGACGCATCGCCATTTGAATAATTTTATGAACCATTGTACATAGGACATCAGTATAGTGTCTGATCAATAATAACAAGTTAAGTCATTTTAATATAAATCAAATTTTATAAGAGAAACATATTACTGAAAACATATATAAATATATACATATACATATCGTTATCTACATTTTTATAATGCAATTAATTTCCAAGAATATAATATTCTACTTTTGCTATATACCTCATACTTTCAAGACATCTAGAAATTACAATAGATATAAGTAGAATCTATAATTGTAATTTTACGCAATAAATATTAATTTTCAAGTAACAACACTAATAATTTCCTTCATAAAATACAACAGTTTCAAGAGAATTTTGTTCGTTTTGAAGATTTATTTTTCTCAACTGAAGCAATTCGTTAAAGCTAACATGTCAAATAAATCACGTTAAAGCTTTTGTATCGTCAAAATTAAGTAAATAAAACTTCAAAAGTAGATAACTTTGCGACTGTTGTATTATATGAAACCACTGCGAGGAAGTGTGTTCAATTTACGTTTAATTTCTACATCTTTATAACTTTAAAACTTAAAATAGAAAGTTTAACTTTAGACCAACAGAAATGTAAGATAAGTGCATCAACAAATGCATCAAAGCGCGTTTTTTAATCTAAAAGAATATCTTACAAAAAAATTCACTATCTACAAATGGAATAACATTTTAATAAACATTTGGTTTCAGCATCATTTGTATAATACTTTCGCTCACCTTGCCAATATATAGTATTCCATATATAATAGGATATTTATAATTTAATTAAATATTGACAGCGACGGGTACTTGATTGTCAATTAACTTTCAAATAATTAATTAGTCTATTTGAAGTTTACAGTACAATTCCAAGTGTGATATAATTTCAAAAATATATAATTCAATTTTGAAAATCCTATTATGTATGTTATACATATAACAATAATGAAACTTGATTTAAAACTTTTAAAAGATAACTATCCTTTAAATGAAAAATTTTTGATTGGTTTGTTGTTTTACCGCATTTTCGTTCCGTATTATCCGTATTTTCGTTTATGTCTGACAAACGAAAATTAATGTTGTTAGAAAAATTCACTCATCCTATGATAATCGATGAACTTATTCGTACCGATGAAATCATGTTCATTTCAAGTAAACGAATCGTTCCTAATGATGATATTCCGTAGTTGGAGTCACATTGATCATGTCGGTGGTGCTAAAAAAAAAAGATGTATGTCAAAATAAGAAAGAAAATTTGCAGACGACTTTTCGGTTTGCTAATAAAATAAAATCCAACAATAATATAAAAGCATAGGGGAAACCAAATTGCTTCGAAATGTAATGATACGTGTAAATTAGAAATATATATCCAATTTAAATAAACGTTTTTTTTTTTTTAGGACATGCGACATGCTTTTTATAATATATATTTAATAAGCATATATATTAAATTTGAATCGGATTTAGTTCGCGTCTTGTCGAAAAGGAATTTTTGTAATAATTTTGCCGATTTTTTAAGAATATCAAAATGTATTTCAACTCTTGCTTAATTTTACGTCAATACATAAAAACACAAATAAGTGCATTTACTTCCAAATTTGATTTTAATAAATGTGTATACAATCCATACATATGGATTGTATGCACATTTTTTAAATATATTACACACACATATGCATGAGAGTTATTTGATATACATGTATATACACATATATATTGCATATGTATATATAAGATGTAATAGCATAGAACAAACACAATGAAATTACTTGGACAAACAGTTAATTATAAAATATACTTCTCAGTTTCATACATGGATATGGAATTATTTTTTGTTCTGTTATTGCTTATTATTTATTTAATTTCTATTGCACAGTTATATAAATAATAAAATATCATTAATGCTGTTTAAAATTAAATTAAAATTACTCCTATCATTTTAACATAAAAATTCAAATTGCATGTAACAGAATTTTAGAAACAAATACTCCATTCTTCTGAAAAATATAACAAAAAAATACACACACATTCTGGCAAAGCATACGATACACCAAATATGACTAGTCGAGTTATTAATTTTTTTTTTAGCAGTAAAATATTGTAGTAAAATATTTTACACATTTCTTAGTATCTATTCAGTATTGAAGTGACAAAATTATAACAACAATGTTCGATTGGTCATATTTTATCGAGACAGCTTTTACATGTCAATTAGAAAGGATAGACATAACACAATATCACAAACACTTACAAGAACATACATGGGTGCCCTAAGAATACTTTCTTGTAGTCGTCTTTACATTAGTTTGCTGTATAACATATATCAGATATTATATTATCAACTCGTGTTATGAAAAAAAAACACACATTAAATATATGTCTCTGTATCGATCTAATTTGAGAGATTGTTTATTACGTAAATCACTATTGATTATATTGGACTGACACATATTAGATTGTGCATGTTTAATATTGCACAAAATTTAAGTACGTTTGTGAACATTAAAAGATATTAACATATGTATATCTTAGTTTTACATAACTATGTTCAGTAATTCGTGTAGATGTTCCTTCACCACATATAGGTTGTTATTAAATAGGATGTATTATATGTTTATCGTTTATATATATAGATGGACAAGTGAGAGAGAGATATATATACTATATGAATATATTTGTTACCTCTTAGAACATTTAATATGTATAATAAGTAATGCTACGCCGAGCAATAAGCACAAACTCCCCACAACAATGTAAGCAATACCAAGGAAAGGGTTCTTTCCTCCCAAAAGTGAAGTTGTACTTAAAATCATCTTTTTCTTTCCATAAAAGGAGGATACTGAAAACGCTGAAAAGAACATTCAGAAATATTATCTATATTATATATTTATATAAAAAATATATATATATATATATATATGTATATGATATAAATGTTTAATTTTTAATTTTATTATTTTAATTATTAGATTATTCTTATAATTCACCACATGTTTCAATTTGATTAAATTACTTACAATATTGAACCATAAGAGTATAGTTTCCTGAAACTAGACCCTTTTTAAAACCATCTTGACTATGATCAATCCTACGATAGAGTTTTCTGAAAGTGGGCAACGCGGCAGTTCTCATCCATACAATTAAATCCTCATTTTGAAATCCGTTGTTTTCCTCATTATCGGGATCCAAATCCCAAATGTGTTTAGTCCAGTTTTTAGGCTTGGCAAAGTCCTTGAACGCTTCCTTCAAATTGCCCTTTGGATTTCTGAATTTGATTTTTTTATCAGATGGCCAGGCTATGCCAGTTTTTAGTAACGGTACATAATTATTATGTTTTGCAGACCATAGTGTCAATTCATCGCTAAAAAGCGAATTTGCGATAGCACCACATGGGGCCACTGGTTTCGAGTCGTTCACTTTCTCATAGGCAAATGGTTCACAGTCATTCGAGACGGTAGGGTGCAACTGTCCCAGCAGTTGATTGTCGTCTCGAGATTTTACGTATCTACGATGATTTTGGTAGAAGTTTGTCAGGCCGTAATACATATAAACTTTGCCGGCAAATTCCGAAGTTAGCTCAAAAGGTATATTGCATGTGCAGTTCATTGGCGGGGCTGCTGCAATTACATCTACGCATTTCTTAGGCAATCCATCATCTCCCATAATGGTGGAATTGCAGTAAGTATAATCTATAATATGTTCCTTGACTTCGTCAGAAAAATAAAGCAGTCCTATACCGACTGGTATAAATGCAACTCCTATTACAAAGAATGTCGGTAGAACTGTACCAGCTGTAAGTATTGGTTGCCAGGCTGGTAACCGCTGCTGCTTAAATGCGCTATCTGTGTAACAGTCAAATCAGATCATATGTATTAAACAAATATATTTCCAAAAATATATAATACCAACAACATATGTTTCATATCAAATAATTTTATGATTTTTTTTCTCAAACACCCTGCATACTGTAGAAGCAATTTTATGATAATTATAATAAGATAAAGATAAACGAGATTGTTCCGATAATGGGAAAAGATGTTTAAAATAAATAATCTTCTATAGATAGACATATTCTTGTGTTATCTCTGTTAGAGTTTTTCGTACTGCTTTCTGTGATAAGATACTTAAACTCGGCGAGAAAAATTATCGAAAGAACTAAAACATGTATATTACATCGGCAAGAATTAACGCGTTTTGTAAATAATTATTACGCATGGAATTGCTACACATTTTCATAAATGTTAGTTGATATCGATTGATATCGATCATCCTGATTCTTCCCTTCTAATTCTTGGCTCCAAAAACATGTAAAAAATCAGTCAAACTTTACTCGATTTTCGAGCAGAAATAACTAAATAATAAAGATTTAAAACGATTTGCAACATATTATTTAAACAACTCGGAAAAATTATAAGCAAAATTATTTCGATATCATCAATCGATCGTCGAGCAAAATGTCCAAACCTCTCCATGAAGAAAGCTCGCGTTAAAACAAGATCGTTTGGCCTTTTGCTTCTTGATTTTTTAACGATCACTGAAATGCTCACCCGATGGCTTTTTCGATTTAGGCACCGCATCGACTTCGCTGATGGACGTCATGATTTAACGACACGATCGACACTCGGCTTGACAAGCCTGCCTTGATAACCTAGTACGTATCAAAATGACACACACATAGTACGTCATATGTCACTTTGTGACGAAAGGAAGGCTGGTTTACACGTGGCAGGAGGCCAGACCAGGAATGGTAGGACAAGAAGCTTAAGGTACCTTTTCACGCTGACCCTTGATCCTTATTTTTAACGTTAAAACAGATCACATGATCAAAATTGACGAATTTTAAGCATCAATTTTGATTACGTGATCTATTTTGATGCTAAAAATAAGCGTCGAGCGTCAGACTGAAATGATACCTTAAACTACAAATCGGTCCAAATTTTCGGTTTGTAGCCAATAAAATTGCTGACACACGTTACGAATCACGCATGCGCACGCGTTATACGCGACGTCGATAATGTCGATGACATACACGTCCCACACACACATAGTATACATATTACACATATATACATACACACAGATGTCTCGTGTTGCATGAATTGTATCTCCGAAGGTCGGGTACCTTAACATGTTTTTTTTACAGAGTTTTGTTTTGAGAATTGTTATCGATCGTTCTGAACTGAAAGACGCGAAAGTAGTACGGCTTCCTTGTTCAAATTTCTTGCTGTAACACATACCCCTTGAACATGTTAAAGCATAAATTGCCGAAGGACTGGATTATTGGCAATTCGAAAAGTCATCCGGACAGAGTATACTATTTCAATGTGAAAACAAATCAGTCTTCGTGGGTTCAACCAACCGACAAGACCAAGGTATTTTGCTTTCCGTAGTTTATTTTTCTGTTGTGTAAAACATATGTTACAAGTCTCTCCTCTATACATCGTTATTCTAGTTCTTAAAAAGTCTTAATTTTCTAAAACATTTGTGATATAGACGTCTTCAGAAACTAATCGTAAAGTTCACGAAGGAGAATCTCGCGGCGCAATGACATCCGAGCGTAATGCTGAAAAAGCAAAGGAAACCACCAGTCGACGACGTTCTTGTGATAAAACTGTAGAGACCCCGCAAATGAAGGCTGTTCGAGCAAAGGCACTACATACATTAAATGCCAAGAATAAATATTCTCCCTCGTCGCCAGAAGCTCCGTATGAAAAGATAGTGGGAAATAAAAGAAAAATCTCATCAAGAAGCCTTCCCTCAAAGATAAGGGATGATAAATCAGTGACAGCTCGGGATAAAAATGATAATAAAGTAACATTCACGCCACAAATGCAGGTTCTTCTTGCAAAAATCGAGCATAGAAATTTAAGCACGCCTAGTCAAAATAAAACATCAAAGGAAGATGCTAAGAATAAGGAAGAAAGTTTGAATGCCGCAAATCAGAAGTCAACGAAAATGTGGGAGAAACGAGAGAAAAATATAGGAAATCGACAAAGTATTGCTCGGAATAAGCACAATATTGAGCAATGTAACATGAAACAAAATGCTCAGGAATTACATAATCAAAATTCTTCAAGTAAGTCTAATTGTACAGATTTATATTTCAAGTAATATATTATCATTGTATAAAGAAGTAAAATTAATTTTGTATTTAGGAGAAAGAGGAGGAAAGTCGTTGCCAAAGAAAAATTTGGCAAAAGAACGTATGCAAAGAATAAGAAGAAATTTGGATATTGATAAGGAAAAATTTCAGGAAATGTATAATGCTGATTTAGTTAGCAGGAAAGCTCCGCAGCAAAAGTTCAGCAAAAATTTACCCAATTCATCTAGTAAGCATATAAAATATTTCACATTTTCAATAAAGTTTCGAAATATTTGTTTTACTTTTTAGTGCTTTTACATTGCTGTTGTTTTTGTGTTTACAGACAATGACTGCTTAGGATCAAGGTTTTATAGAAATGTTGACGTACGACTTAAGAGGTTACATAACAGAATCTTAAAAGATGCAGTATACGAAAGAAATGTTACATCAAACGATAAATCGCAGAGTCAACAAAGTAAAGGACCCGATATCCAAATTATGACAAAAGATAAGTTAATAGAACAGGGTAAGCAAGAAGTTCTATATGAAGAGATGGATTGGGAACCAATGAAAGACGAAGAAATTGCCTTTGAGGTATTATCAGTATAACTGAAACATTATATTAAACAATCATAATTTAGATTATAGGCAAAAAAATCCAAAATATGAATATGTTGATCATTGTAATCATGTATCTTCTTCAACACTGAATATTTTTGTTTTATATGAAAGTTACAACAAAAGAATATAATTTTTTAATATTTTTCATATTTTCTTATATAGGTAGAAGTTGTTAGAACACAACTTGTTGTTAAAGAAAGTATAGATATAGATAAAGCAAACTGTATATCAGAAAATACTGCAGAGTTGACGCAGCCTAACAAAACGGAATCGCACAAGAGAGGTCCACTCTATATTGTTGTCGATACAAATGTATTCTTATCAAATTTAGACATAATTGAACAAGCTCGAGACGCAGTTTTTAAAAATTACCCACGTCCATTCATTGTAATTCCATGGACGGTAATATGTGTAAGTATAATATACAGTATATATAAGAGAATAAAAATTCACGTCTAAAAATTTTAACACATACGTTTTTTTTTTTAATTACAACAGGAGCTAGACTATTTTAAGGATAATAAAGCTAAATATGAATTATCAATAAAAGCTAGGAAAGCTATATCTTTCATTCACGATCAATTTGCCTCTAAACATCCACGTGTCATTGGACAAACACGAGAACAGGTAGCAAAAAATAAAGAAGATTTTTGTTTAACTTGTCCTGATGATGAAATACTTCAGTGTTGCTTACAGATATCCAATTTACAAAAATCTGTGGTAAGTTCTTCTGTCATGTCATACAATATGCATGCACATATTGATGAATATAAGTGCTTTACTTATTTTTCTATTTTTGTACGTAGGTCTTATTGTCTTATGACAAAAATCTCTGCACTAAAGCGATGATATATAACATAATAGCATTAGGACGTAATGATCCTCTTGAAAAAATAGATCCTCTTGATGAAGATGGTGCAGTCAACCGATTGAATAATAGTTCTGTTGAAAATTTTCTCTTCAACGAACATTTACATTTAGTGGATGATATTTTTGAGGATACAAAATTGATTATGAAAAACTTTTTATCAACGGTATGTACCGTATGTTGGATTATCAGTTTTCACACGAGCCTACAATCGAACGAATAATTTAATTTTAGATTATCACGAAACAAATGTCAGAGATTTTTGGAGAAGTAGAATGGAAGATATATGTCATTATAAAGCCACCATGGACTATAGTAACTGCATTGAAATGTGCTATGAAACACTGGATTGCTGCGATTAACGAATCATTCCACAGACGTGCTGAATACATTTTGAAAGAATTACATGATGCTTTTGTATATGTACCAGGTAAATATTATATTTACACATTTAATTAAAACTACATTCTGCAACTTAAGCCTAATCTTGATATTTCTTTTAGTTGGTGGTAGAAAATTGCGCGATGTGGAATATGTTATAGAAAAGAGCAGCGACTTGGTACAAATGGTTAATGCTGATAAGCACTGTGATCTCGTGACACAAACGTTCAATGCTCTTATAGTTAATATTTTTTATATATTTGAATATTAGATTATCTAGGAAAGAGTTAAAAAATTAACACTTTGAAAATTGATACTTTTAGGAACTCAAGAAGAAGTGTGAAAAATATATCGCTAGTATTGACCTAAGAAAATTACACGATAAAATAGGCATCGCGGAAAATGTTCAAGAACAAGAAATGAGATCGGAGAAAGCATTCCAAGCCTTCCAACATATTTATAATTACGCGCGTGACATATGGTGAGATTTCCTGCATGTATATATAATTTCATACGCATACGTGTGCGCACAAAAATGTATTAATGTCATATATATATATATATATATATATTAGTAATAATACTGCTGTTTCTTTCTCTTTGTAAATAGCTAATATTATTTTATTTTACCATAGTGGTTTGGCGTGCAGCAATGCGGGGATGGCATGTTCCTTTGCCTTCAAATCTATGAATGGGGCATTATATACACCATCATGTGTACAACGTTTGCAACCAGAAATTACGAAAAAAGTAACTGATTTGACACAGAATCTGAATAAGTAAGTTATTTCTTAGTGTTAATCTATTGATATTGGTAATATATAATTTGTTACGTTAAATTATTTTGTACTATAATGCATATAAATTTATTCAAAATTTTTTTGTAATCAGGTCACTGGTGCAGGTTGAAAATTCTATAAAACATCAGACGTTGCTTAGTTTACAGCAAAATTTAAATACATTTCTGCCTGACATAGAGAGAATAACATTTGACGTGACACCTTTGGATGTATATTATTGTGTCAAATTAAAAGAAGAAGCGTTAAAGACTGGATTAAGGCAACTACAAGAATTAACTTCGCATTTCTGTGCATTAGCTACGCATACATAATTGTATGTATGTTGTAATTTATGTTCTTAAAATTTAAAGATATATATTAAGATATTTATAAAAATGTATATACATAATTTTTTTAATATATTTTAACGAAATAAAGATTATTTTAGTTTTAAGAGTAACTAATATCAATGGTATCAATGAAAATTATTGTACCTGTACTTTTTTTTGGGCACAAATATTTGTCTTTCGTCAATTATTGTGCATTGTGAAAAGTGTATTCATTGAAGAAAAAATAAAGTTTCGTATTTTGTTATCACGTATTTTGTTGTCATATATTTTATTACCACGTGTTTTGTATCTATGTATTAATAAATTTAATATAAGTAAATCTCGTGAAAATTTTATATGTAACGTTTTTCATTGGTGCTATCGGTATTCTTTTACAGCTATATAAACTATGAAAGATTTGTTTTATTTTTCTTCTATTGTACACAGATTAATATTATTTTTTGTAGTGAGAAAAGAAACGAATATTACGAAGATTACGCAATACACAGTGGACGCGATAATTCTGAACACAATTAATACAATATACCTAATTTTTATAAAGATTTGCAAAACCTTCAGCAGGTGGTTGAAGCCAATTTTCTTTCGAGTAAGTTACATGTTTTGTCTCAATCACATGAAAGGTGTAAGCATGTCTCGATGTTTCACTCTTGTTTGGATAAGAAAAGTGGACCACCTGGCCGTGGATAAGAATACAAGTTCCTTTGCGTACTGGTACTGGTCTGAAATTACTTAACGGATAGCAGGGCGCGGCTTTATCGAAAATTAGTAACTCCTTAGAGTTAGGATCTTTGTTTCTCATATAACGCCTATGCACTCCGCTCTGATGTGAACCCGGGGCGATCCAGAGACATCCGTTCTCCAGCGTTGCATCTTCCAATGCGATCCAGAAACCTACGAGTTTCACCGGCTCGACATATAAATATGATGCGTCCTGATGCATCGTAACTGTAAGAAAATAAGAATTATTGCATTCGATACAGTGTTGCAGTAGTTATTCTATATAGCGTACTTGTATTATATCACATCAGCTTTCATGTGAGTTATATTTATATAATTCAAGAGTATATAACTCTAGAATTATTTAATTACCCTCCGAGCCTATACCAGGATTTTTGTAAATGTACATTGACTGACACACTACTGGTTCTTCATACTCTAATTGGAAAGCAACTTCTTTGACTCTTTCGTCGAACGTGTATTTTTTGAAAGTAGGGTGTAACCAGTGAAGAGCATGACCTACCTGAAAATTACAAATCGTAGAATAATTAACAAAATTATTTTAAAATATAAATGTATATTTGTGGGAGTTGATTTAACTAGAGGCTCTTTTAAGATAGTTTACTTTGTTTAACGACACTCTTGGATGAACCTTCAGTTTCCCGTCTTCTTCCAGAGCTTCAGTCTCGAAGAAAACACTTATTTTATTAGCGCTATCCAAAAAATACTTATCCTTATTCTGAAACAAAATCATATATTTTCATTAGTATCGAGTTTCATTTATATGACATTTACAAAGATAAAGTTTCACAAGGATAAGTTTCAAAATTAACGAAAATATGAATTTATGTTTCGCAAAATTTATTAATTGTATGTATCTATTTACTCTGATAAAGAGTTTTTTTTTTTTCCAAGTAGTGACAAGGAACGTTGTACGATCAGTTCCGAATCTGAATTATTCGATGAATATTATGCTTTACATTTTTAAGTTTCGCAATGCGTTTGTTTATAATTATATTACCTGTTGTAACTGTATAGTATTGAATATTTTTCGTTCCGACTCAGGTGGCAATTTATTTGTAAATTCTTCTCCGCAAGCTCTCAATTCTTCAATCTCTTCCGGTTGAAAGAAGTCTTCCAAAATGACGTAGCCATTTTTCTGAAACTTAATTTAAATTACATAATTAATATATAAACAATCTTTAGAATTTTAATATTTTATTATATAAGCTTTTCTTTTCTAAATATTAAAAAATATAAGTGTTTTTTTTAGTTCTAAGCGCGAAAAGACATAAAAGATGATGCAAAGTCGCTTTCTCTTTACATACTTGCAGTAAATAAATAGATAGCTTTATTTAAAAAAAGAAATGTATGTAGGACAGAGACGTGAGGAAGAATATCCTAAAAATATAATCGACACATTCATTTTCGGAATAAACTGCAATTTTTTTACTTGAGCTCGTAATATCATTATGTAAAATTTGGATCTTTAGATGAATAACAAATCGCTCATTTGATTTATTGTCGGAATAAGATAAGACGGAACCGAAGGCCGCCCGGTTCAAAGTTCAAAGAAATTTTATTTCCGGTTCTGATCATCTGACCGATCCGTCGTAATTCCGTCTCATCGTGATGTTTTGAGTGATAGACTGCGATTCTATAAATAGATCGCGGCCGATAAAGACACCTAAGAATAACCGGGGCATTGCCTGTTTCAAAGGGCAAACGAACATCTCGAGTTCTACGTTTTTTTGTTTACGTCCATTGCATTCCGTGTCTCGTATCAACGAGTCAATCACGCAATCAGATTGTGATGTCCACACATTTGTTAAGAAAGCGTCAAATCGTTTTTTGCCCCTCATTAAGATAGTCCGACGCGTTACATATATGTGTTAAATTAGTCCCAGATTAGTCCACGATGTAAAAATAAAATATATAGTGTATATTTTTGTACATCGACCGAATATAAAAAAATATTTTGTGTTTCTCTTAATTATTGATATCTTAATCGCTTTGTATTTTTGTTTTGGCACTATTTATATTAAATTTTTGAAAAAATTTTTTTTGTTAATTATAATCAGGATCGTTATTTTTTATTTTCCCATTTGGCGCGGTCCAATATATTATTTTTGGAAATTTTTATTATCAGTTATCGTCTGCGCACGACGATATCATTAATACTTGTAGCTTAAATAAATTTGTATAAATAAAACGTTTGCGCAACGAAGAGTATCGTGTACATCGTAGTTTGTGATTCACATATCGATATATATATATATATATATATATATATATATATACACATATAATCCCGCATTGCTAGCTGGCAAGCTTCCACGCGTTATCTCACATGCAAGTGCATGTCGAAATGAACGTTCCGGAGTTGCAAAACGTCGTTAAATGAAAGCGAAACGTCAGTTCGAGCGGCATTTAATTTGCGGAACAGTTTTACGAGCAATCCCCCAAGAGCCGAGACGTATCCACGTCTGTTCGAGTCTTCTTAACGCATATTCGCTAATCGTTTGACTATTTACAATCGGATGAACATTTTAGGAAGCCGACAAGAAATCGTCAAGAAAAAAAAAACGAAAGCTGCATCCGCGAAAATCCTAAAAACTCGTATGCCAAAGCGGAACTTTCGGTATGTTACATACGGCAGTCGGAAAAAGGTGCGCGGTATTTTTAGCGTTCAAAACGCAGCGGGATATCGGGGCGTTCGACGCGGTCGTAAACATCGCCAAAAGTCATGTTTCGCGATCGTAGGAAGTCCCGCGCTTGTCATTCGATCGAAAACTACGGCGTCTTCCTCGCTCGGTGACGGCTCGGAAACGGTTTCGCAATAAAGACGCCACGGCGGAGAACGCTCGTGGATCACGCGCCGTCCCCGCTAGGGTATCTTCAAAAAAATCGCAATTTATGTGCGCAATTTTTACGTTTCGATTACGGCGAAACGCATTACTGCACTGCCGCACAATAATGCATTTCCTGCGATAAAGGAGAAATATTGCTCGACGCGGCAGCAATTTTATTTAAGACAATGATATCTTCTCTTCTGCCTTGTATTGCCTTCATCTGAGTTCCAGTCTTCGAGTTGTCATGATTGTTCGAACAAAGAGAGATTACATATTGATCTTTTTAATGACAGCCATATATCCATTTTTTTTTCTTGAGATGATAATTAATAATGAAGACACAAGAAACGATAGATTTATATAATATTTTCATTTTTTTTCATGTATGATAATTATTTCTTATGCTGTATTTAATAATGCTTTTGTAGATAAATTGGAAATTAATATCTAATTCTTTTGCCAATATATTTGAGATTTTTTGAAAACTCCATGTTGATGTTTATGAAAAGCAAATTATAAAATTTAACAAGGTCTTTAAAATCGATTAACATTATAAATACAATATAAATATTTCATTGACTCATAGGCTGCGGTCCGATTCATGCTCACAATGCTTTTGGAATACTTTCATCCTTGTCGTTAATCGAATATTAAATAAAGACAAATGATGATCACGAGCGCTGCAAGCGTAAATCGGACCGCAGCCATAGCGGCTCATGAGCACAGGAATTTTAAAGTCGTGTGTAAGCACGTCACGAGTCAAATTCGCGCGGAACACATACCGCGTGCATTAACGCAAAGTTATGCGTGTGAAGCAGCGCATCCCGAAAATAGTTAGTATGGCTAGCCGTCGTAGACAGGGGGGTGGTTCGGCTACGTCATTCCCCTTGTCGTCGACGTCGCTTTTTCTGGAATTTCGTCCGTATATACGAATGACTCAAGCCGCCCATGAAAGCGCTGAATCGCGTGGATAGGAATAGAATGGAAACGGGGATGAGCGTTCATTATCCACCGTTCGCTCTCGCAGCGCGATCGTGAAGGATCAAGGTCGCCTTCGTTATTTTGAGTTAATTTAAGTGTGCGGAATTCAGAAGAGCGAAACTTCCTAAAAACTTTTCGATTCCGATCTTCTTTCCAACGTTTCGATTGTATCGTATAAAAAAAGGCGAAAAGCGAAGATTAAAAACAATAATATTGATAAAATGCCATTCGATGTTTAATGTAAGGATTGTTTCAATTGATTAACAACTGTAATTCTTAAGGAAAAAATGTTAATTACTAGACGATGTGCCGTAAACAACGCTCGACTCATAGACATTATAACTAAAATAGCAGGAATGATAAACGACATAGATTAATGTAGGTTATAGATCAGCGATTAGGATGTTTCACGCGATAAATTATTATCGGCGGGTAAACACATTTCTTCTTTCGTTTAGAATAATAAAACTTTCTCTCTTTCGTGTGGTTGTTTGATTTCTTCAATTTATTTACAATATTCACATCGCCTGCAAACTACTTTTGGGAAAAATCGTCATTATTAAAAAAAAAATGACAAGTTTTTTTTTTTTAATAATGACGATTTTTCCCAAAAGTGTTTTCGCATTCTTCGTGCCACTTGCAGAAGGAGACTATCATAATTGAAAGCGCGAAGGTGTTTTTCTGCGATATTTTTACGTATAAACATTCACTTCTCCTGTTCGAATAGTACCAAATATATACATAATAAAAACAATGCGATACAAAATGTTAGATAATCGCATTTCGTATAGTTAATTTTTTTCATTGGTCACGAATATATAAAACATACAGCGATAATATGTTGCCCCCTTGGTCATCTTTGTCAAGATCTAAAAATAAGTCTTCAAAATTTCATAGTGTCAAAAGAAAGATATCCTTCGGATCATAATGGTCAAGTGATATGATCCGATAACGTTTATTCCACGAAATCTCCAGCTTCTCCGATTACAGTTCGTGAATTTTATTTTTATTGTAAAATAATAATTTATTAAAATTGCTGGCACAGAGCAAATAGTAATAGAAATGATTTGAAGCTGGAAATCTTTTAGAACAATTAAACAAATTATACAAAAAAAATAAATAGCAGATTACTGTGAAAAGAACAGGATAAGTTGTTATTAATTCTCAATTTTATACGCATATATATATATATATATATATATATATATATATATATATAAAATTATTAAACATTTAACTTTTTCTCTAAATCCTTATTTAATATTTTTTTTTAATATTTAATAGTTTTCAATAACAAAAAATATACAAATTCTAAAATAATAATAACTATATTTCTTAATCTTTTTCTTTTACTGTATTAAAGCATTTATATATGTTGTCTTGTTTTTGGATATATATAAACATTATTATAAAAAATAAGAAAGCTCATATATTATATAGCGTTAAAATAAACGCTATAACATAACTTCTAACTGATAAAATTTAGAAAACTCAATAGTTTAAGAAATTCGCTTGAAAATAACTGAATATTAAAAAACACTGATTTTATTGATTTGTATTTTTCTTATCGTAATAAATTGCTAAAGTATTATATCTTGTTGCAAAAAAACTAGAAGAGAAAGAGAAAAAAAGACAGAGAAAGAATTGAACCTGAACTATTAATTTAGATAATATATATGATATTAATTTTGCAACAAGCGCTACATAAAAATGTAAGCGTATGATAATATCAAAAGTAAAAATAAGTCAAAAATTTTAAGTCGTTAACGAGTTGATGCTACTACGTCTCGATGGAACGACAGATTACTTGAAACGATGATGGTGACCTCCGAACCGAGAGGTCCGGTCGATTATGTCAGTGTGGCGTGAACCTGAGCGTGAACCCCAATGACGCTGTTAGTTAAATGACTATATTGTGTACCCTCGTTTCTCGATGATTGCCGCAACCGTGTATATAAGAGGATCGTTATATCGTCGAGAATTTCAATCGTACAATTCTCATCGAGAATACCAGTCATAGAAAGTATTAAAAAAATCAGAGTCTACATCTTCGCAAAGAAATGCAATGCATATATTTCTTGTTACATGGCAATAATAATCTCGTTATAGATTTTAATTAAGATGACGTTATTTTATATAAATTTCAATATATTCCATTGTATATATTTGAAATAAATTATAATTAAATAAATTTAACGACATAAAGAAGAGTATAAATACGATTATAAAATGTTTATACATATTAAAGAAATAAATGTACGATAGAACGTTTTAACCGTAAAAATATTTTTGAAGAAATACGAGTAAATTTGAAAATATTGACACAAGTATATGCGCACGTAATATGGAACGACTCGATTTTTATTAAAAATAATATATGGAATGTATTGCAGGAAAATAAAAAATATATATCCCTAATTTTAATGTAAAGAAATTGAAATGTTAATTTATGCTATACATTTTTATCGTACCAGAAAATCATACTTCATTTTGTAGATATTTCATTATTATTAATTTTTTCATTTTCTCCCTTCTCTTCTTCTCAAGAGACACATTAAAACAACTTGAAAATTTCAATAACGTCACAAAAAAGTCATGTTTTTTACTTTTATTATCTATAAATTTTAAAACAATAAATAAATATAAAGCATTTATCGTCTCGTTGCGCTGCCGAAAAAATTCATTATTATGTTGCGAATTGATCAGCAATCTTGACGAAGAATAATAAGTTTTATCGATTTCGAACAAACTTTGTCGATTAAATTTCCGTATCGGCTACGCGATGATACGAGGCGACTTGAATCTCCTTCGCTCGTATAGGAAGACGATACGGAAAGGCAATTCTCACAAGTTTTCCACGTATGGGACTCACCTGCGCGTGAATGTCCTTCATCCCGATACACGTGTTATCGCAGCAATGTCCCGCGAATCCTGAACCTGTTCGCCGAACACGAGACAGAGTGAGGCCGAAACACGTCCGCGATCGAGTACTCGCACCAAATGACTAGGTAAGCCCACAGATACGCCAAGTCCGAGTCGAGCCGACGACTCCGGCTTGTGCGAGGCGAGCGAGGCGAGAATCACGTCGTTCCGCCGGGTTTCCGACGAAGGAACGCTCACATCTTTAATTTTCCAAAGGTTCGAGAATTTATCACCTGATAAAGAGTCAAGGAATCTTCGGCGATTAGAGATTACCTATGGACATTATATCTCGTGCATTCGTTAGCGATACGTCATTTAAATAATTTTATCTTCCTCACGAAGATATTGCACTGTCGCGCAAGAAGATAATCACGTGCTAAGAAGTGAAATTTATTAATCGTTAATTAACATCAAGTTAATTAATTCACGTATCACTTTTACTTATACTACACTCATTTTCTAAACTAATCTCGAATGTCTTCCAAATGTCTTTATAAAGATATTGTAAAGATTTGTTTAAATTTGTTTAAATTTGTTGTTAATTATAACTTTATCGATACGTTAAATACATTAGAAATACGTCTTCATTAGATTTTAGTTAAAATTGATAATAGCTTAAATTATTGTAATTATCATAAATATTAACTATGAATAAAATTATTTTACAAAATAAGATAGTTTCTCTGTTATTATAAAAATGCAATTCATCGTACATGTATACAACTTTTGCGATAATTAGAAAAATTATAAGAATAATTTATCATGGTTATTAAGACGAGATGACATGGCACAATCACGCAATAAATTATTAAGGTAAGATAACTGATGTTTAAAGCAGTAAGGTCTTCGTTATTTTTTTAAACTTAAATTATACGCATGAAGGTATATAATGTATATATTATATAGACTTTTGTAATATATCCTCTGAATCTATATCCTCTGAGCATACTGCACTATCTGTGAATCCAATTATACGTAAATAAACGATTTCTATGGTACAATAATCCAGATAATGAATGCAGCGAATTACTGAACTACACGGTTCTTTGCTTATTTCGTAAGCTTCCGCTTGTAAGCTCATTTCAGTTTCAGCACGATGTCCTCTTCGTTCGACGCTCACGGTCAGTCGAACACTCGGCCATTCATAACAAACGTCCAGGAAGTAAAGTTTTGAGAGTCGATCTTTTATAGGTTCCCTCAAAATCAACGCTAAAAATAAACTAAACTAAAAATAAATTTCATAAATTATAAAAGGAATTAATTTATCGTGTATGATAATATTGTATGTTTTTAATTTTGTACGATATAGTCTTATTATACCATTTGCTATTGTCATAATGTATATATGACACGCTTCTTTTCGTATATTTGCTTTCACAGAGTTAACAAATATATAAACCGATTGAAAAGCTAAGAACTGTTATTTTCAGATTATTTTCACTAATTTCTTTTACCATGATACATACTTATTATTCTATTAATAGCCGAGTCATCGGTGTGATAGTTCATGTGTCGCACATGTGTTTCATCTTCATTTGGACGATCCTGTAGAAACAGGCACCGAACTAACGGCGAATATAATTCCGCGCACTTCGCTTGCGTGGGCTCGCTAATTTACGCGAGTAGACGACGCGGATTTATTAAAAGCCAAATTTCTCTAAATTCCGAAGAAAATTTTCTTTCCAGTAAAAAGCGCAAAAATTTACGTTTCTATTCTCTCGCATGTCTAGCCTTAATAAATAATGTACATCTAGGTTTTCCCACAAATTGGCCTTATTCTCTTGATATGTCTACGAACAGTTCTGTTTTCATTTCTTCTTCTCTCTTTTTTTTTCTTCTTGTTTGATTTCATCTCAAAGAAAATTTATAAATACGACATAAGTACTGTTTTTACTGCAATATAGATATTATTTATATTATCATACTTTTGTATCTAAAATACGACAGAATCATTTTTCAAAATGCAAAGTAAAGAAACTTAATTAAAGGTAACCAACTAAATGATAATTATAATATTAAAAAATCTGTAAGAAAAATAAGTAAATTATTCGTAATAAATTTTCTGCTAGACTAAAGCAGTCGAGAATAGATATAGGCATCTAAAAGATTTAGAATGTACATACGTCTTCTCGTCAATTGTTTCTGCGATTTGTTTGAATCATCAGAAAGATCGTTACCATTATTATTATTAGATATTAAAATTTGAAATATGATTTTTTAACAGCTCAATAGTATATACGAGAGGTCAATAAAATAACGCGTGTAAATTGACTTATTCGCGATCTTCCTGCATCATGAGAGAAACGAGACGAGCGTACTTCGTCTGAGAGATTAAAAAGTTCGTTGTCGCGGATGAAGTCCGGTAGATATTCAGAAGTAGTGCCATTTGACTGTGAGCCAAGCCGGCTTTGTTGAGTCGGTTTCTTTTTATACCATACGGTTTAGCTACGACATTATTGCGCTATTACTACCGGGTGTTGGGCATTGTTGGAGCAGTTTGGCGGGGAGGGAAAAGGTAACTCCGGCAAATGAGGCCGTTGTCCACCGGCCTGCTGTACGGTAACTTGGTCCGCTCGTCGGATGAAAATCCGGATAACTTCGTCGTATGTACACGTTCGCAGTATAACATCTTGGTTCGCTGCCAGGTATGTACTCTTTTGCAGCCTTAACTCAACTCGAATTAATTGTAGCCGCCGCGCGGCTCCGCGTCGTAAACATTTGCCGTCGAGAGCAGCGGAGTATGACATTAATTGCTCGCATGTTCACGTGTATTCGCATAGCGTCTGCTCTTACCGATCGAATACGACACTGCGAAAACGGAAGACGGATGCGCTTTCAAATATGTGTATAGCAAACGTTAGGAATAATTAAAATAAGCGGCATTCTCTTAAAAAAATATGTATATTCGCGCGCTTACTCATTTCTTATATCACACTTTTATTATTATACTTTTTGCACTTTACCTTTGTAATTTTTGCATTTATACTTTTATTGTATGACAAGAGGAGCATAATTAGACAAAACGAGGAATATATAGATTCATAAATACGAACAAATCTAAATCTAACAATAAGTGTAAATACTTGAATATCACTTGAAATGTTATCTGCGCGAGCAAGTAAATAAACACGGATATTTTCGATCGTTTATCTATTCAGGTTAGATACGATAAAAATATGTTTATTTTATTTGAAGATTTTTATTATCTGCGCGATATTCAATTTTGGACAACTTCACCGATACATGTATACATATCAGTGGACAAAACTGATATCACATGATTATATCAGATTATAACTAAATATCTTATACATATAAATGATGAAAATGTACCGATTATACTTATGCTTCTGCGTGCGCCTATGGGGAGGTGGCCATGTATACGTTTGCGCATTAAACTACCATAGAATGATTATTTACAGGCGCGAGAATCATTTCTTGATCGCGATAACTTTTGCATGTAAACTCTAATATTTGGTCCAACATTTCATCAGTCGTATTTACAATTCCTATTATTTATCTTGCCGTATATATCGTTTGAATAAAAAGTATTCAACTTTTCTCATTTTTTATTACGAGAAAATCACGATTACATCTTTGTTCTAACTTACAAACGCACGAGCGATTTTTCTTTCTCACATGATTTAAAAGATATATATATATATATATACATATTTAAATAATTCCATTGTTAAATATCAAGTTTGGACAAAGGAAACTTTCAATGTATCGAATATTTAATTAGTAACATTAACAATTAAAAAAGCAATTTTTAGTTACTTTTAGTTATGTCATTTGTATGTATGTAAAAGCTCCTTTCTTGAATGAGATTTTTTAACTTATATATGTATATAATATACATTATGATACATATTATAATATATTATAATATATAATATATAGTATAAAAAATTATATGTTTACATATTTTTAATTATATTTATATATAAAATTATTTCCTTTATATTATTTTATCTTATAGTCGATTATAATTATTTAAAATTCAATTTTTATAAAAGGAAACTTTCACAGTAAGGGTTATCGGTGTATGATAAAAATTTACACGTGTAACGAAGACAAAATTTGGACATGACACTATCTTCACGCTAAGATAAATATTTATTATTAGTTACGATGATACTTCACCGATTACAGTTTTCATTACGATATTTATTACGATAACGGGGGAATTATATTTCCAGTTAATTAGTATTATCTGCGGTAAAGTATATAAATTGGCGTAACGTGTTGAGGAAGCACGGGTAAGCCACATGGCATGCGTTTCCACTGTGAAATCTCTCAGTGAATACAGGTAAGCGCACGTGCGTGTATATCTGTGCGTGGTATAGTTACGTACAGTACAGAGTGACGAATTGCTGTCAGATGTTAGCGCGATTAAACTCTGACAATACCTCATGATGTACGCAGAAGCGCGTTTTGACTCTATCGCGATGATGATTGCGTTATTACTCAAATTAAGGGAGGAGTCTCTCGACGAGACAGCAAACGACGGCATCGTGCTGTGTGAGACGTTCGTCATTTTCGGTTGAATTTTTCGAGTTTACCTAGCGTGGCCGACCGTGGTGGGTCCTGTTGAATTTGCGTGTCGAAATCATGAAATCAGTGGGTGCATTCAGCTGATTCAACAGTTGAGCGCTTGTTGCTGTTAGTGTATTTTTCTATAGGTGATCTAATTTGATTTTAGACCTTTAAATCTAGAAGAATACACCAATAGCAACAGACGCTTACTTAATTGTTGAGTCAGCTGAATGTACCCATTATGTGTGTTGCCGTATCGCGGCATTTCTTCCATCTTTTTAACGACGATAAGTCATAGCGCGATGAAGTTTTCCCTCCTCGTCTGCGTAGAACAATGCTTCGTATAAACACGAAGTTGTTGTTTGGGGAATATCCTCCAAAAGGAGTGGAACAGGATAAAAATAAATGTCGTTCATGAATGAGGCGCAAAGTTGTTGCCGCTGATTTTTGTGCATCGCCGTCGGTTGCCCTTGAAAAGTACCTCCTTCAATATAATTGGAGAACAATTGGATAGAAACGGGTGCAGCATTTTAATACCAATCGCGCTTTTTCGCGTCAGTCACATACTATTTTTTGAGATATCAAAGTTCTCAGCGAGATTATCGTGGTTGAAGGGTCCGCGAATGACGATGGCGTGTGCGACACGACGCTCGGACCACGGAAATCGGAAGTAAGTGCGCACCTCCAGGTGCGATTTGTTTTCGAGACATCTACCTTAACATATCAATTATTACATCTATTGACATTATAGGTCCATATCGTTAGCTAGCGTTAAGAAACAGTTTGACAATTCAAATTTTGAAATTTTCAACGAATATAAAGTAGACGGGCGAACAAAACTTATAATTTTGATGATCGGCGAATCTTCATGACATGTAAATAACAATTATTTTTTGTTGCGTCTAAAAAAACAACTTTAGGAAACAAAATAATATTTCTAAAATAAATTTTATTTTTATAGTAGTGTTAATATAGTATTAATATGCAAAAAATATTCACGATATCTCACATCTAATTCATACCCAGTAAGAAATGATGGCCAATTCGATGTCGAATCAACGTCGATACGGTCATCGTCATCGAATTGATGGCCATTTCTCACTGAGATAATCTTTTAAATGTAATTGTTAATTCTTTAAACTTTAAAAAATACAAATAATTATATAGAACAAGAATTTTTCTCGTTACTTCGTCTAACGATTTGCACGAGTGAATTGCACCGTTTGCTTAAAGATAAGTTTAATGCTATTACGAAACTAAGGCATCCTAATGCGCTCCTTTAATGCGCCTGAAGAGGACCAGAGCAATTTTCCGGTCTGCATAATTGCGATCTTCATTTAATACCATCGCGCAGGCATTATCTTCCAACGTACAGTTTGCAATAATAATTCTGCACTACAGTAAAAACGACAGGATGCGTAATGAAAGGGTTGAAACGCGCTTATAAAGATGGATAGAATATAATGAAAATAGCAAAGAGGGCTCCCTCCCCTTTTATAAAACTCTCGCGATCGACGGACAAAGGATCACTTTGTTTTTCGTGTACTTCCTTCGATTTCAACTCCGCGTACTACTTTACGCGCGATAACGCGTAATTATCATTGTTAAGTTCTATTTCTATTCTACCCCAGCTTTGTTGTTATTATATTATGCGAACAAGTGTGCGTCGTTCAGAGCGATGCCTTTATTTAATCAGGACGCGATGCGTCGACGTTTAATTGCTGGAATTAATAATACATTACAATGCAGTGGGTATTTATACCTGACGAGTTACGTGACGTACAATTTTACCCGACCGAACATTCGAAATGGATTTTATATTTCTCTTCGACATTCGTCTTTATAATAAACAGGGGATTACAAACTGTATCAGTAGTAACGACTGTACAAATTAACTGGAAATATTGCGGATCGCTTATTAGGGTGAACCGGAGTGACAGGTTTTAATTTATTAATATCACAAATCTGTTATTCAATTTAAATTATGAAAATTTCATAAAATATTTATGATAGATCATAATGTTTGTGTATATAATTTTTCAGTATTACAACGTGTATTTGTACGATTAAGGACTTCCTGCAATCATGTGGAGCGCTTCGTTGCAATCATTTTTATTTCTCTTCACCTTGAAATTATTCGTTGCTATGGGAAACGCACATCCAATTACCGATGTATCAGACATAGAGCTTTCAAAAGCTAATAATATAATGACACCCGTTACGACTTATACGTGTGTTTATATACCATCGAATTTAGAACTTTGTCAATTTATCAGGTAAGTCGTGATAAGAGAATTCATAATTATATTTTTTATTTTTATTGTTCAATTTTTACAAATACATCAACAAATTGCTTTCCTTTTGCTCTTGCTGCGAAACCAAAGAAATATCAAATACATTTCTTTAAATTTGAAAAAAAAGAGTATAATTAAATGCACAATAAAACCTCCTGTACCATTAACTGTAAATACGCTTTGCTTTACGCGAGAACGTTAAACATTGGTTAATATTATAATATCAAAAGATTATTGAAAAATTATATATATATATATAAATTTTGGCAAATAATGATAGTCTTTCATTTTCCATATTAAGAAAAACATCATTGCAAATGTAAATTTTTTTGGCAATATTATATTTAAATTCAGAAAATCTTTGTTTTAGTTATAAATCCAGAGAAAATCTCCGGGAGCGCAAACTGTTGGAGAATAAAAAGCGCAAGTTGGAGAGTAATAAAATATACTTCACGTCACACACATCGATGCGTGCCCCAGGAACAAAAAAATTTCAAAAGCAACCATTCGTAAAAACTATAATATATAAAATACAAAGATGCGTACCGCCAAGGTAAGAGTAAATGAATACAACGAATAATAGCAGGTTTTATAAATAATTATGTTTCATGAACTTTAATGATGACACAAAAAATAGTGTAGTGATATAATCAATTAAAAAAAACTAATACAAGAAATAGGTACTATTGCATTCGTAAGATATTTGTTCCATTTTGCAGATTGCCATTTAATCTACCTTGGTGCACCAATGAAGATCTCTCCGATAAGAACAGCGTGATCTACGAGGTTTATCCTTTCATGATACGCGACTATTCAAAAGAAACATACGAATTTCCTATGTACGATGATTTTAAACAAGCTCAAACGATACCAAAATCGGCATAATTTGTGACACACACTGTTGTGTGTATTTGACGAATTTAAATTATTAACAGGCTATTAATAGTCATACCTAAGCCTGGGGATATTAGACAAAAAAGATATACTTCTTCAATTTTATTATTTTTAATTTCTGTTAACGAGAATCCCATGGACAAAGCCACAAAGTCAAAAGAAACAAGAGAAAATAAAAAAATTTTGGTACATAAGAATTAAAAGCGGATGCATTTTGTAAAAATAAATTGAAAGAAGGAATGAGCGTATATAGCTCAATGAAGGACAACAAAGTGAGATATAACTAAAAATAATGTTAGCTTTAAGCAATAAGAAATTTTTCTTCAGCAATACACTGTAATAAATAGCAAGAGTATATGTGATAAAATAATGTGATCATTAGTTCCGCCATTGTTTAACATAATACTATTGATAGCAATATTAACAGAAATAATAAATCAATATTGCACATCAGAAACATTTTATAACGGTAATAAAATAATCTTGTTGTAATTCTACATGTAAAATTATCCTATGTCATCATGATATTAAAAAAATTGGAATATAGAGCTAAGCATCTTAACATTATTATTGCTCTTTTATGTGCCTTACAAATTAAACCATATTTAAAAAATACATATATATAAGAGAATAAAATATATACCTGAATATAAAAAAAAACATATGCTCCGAATATCTTGCAGCAAGAAGGTACGTTTAATTGTTGTGTTCTAAATTATTTTTTAATTTCATTACCAAAAGTAGAAAGGGAACGAGTGCGCAACGCGTTTAAAAGTAATATCAAAATATGATGAAATATCTGAAACTCTGTGAGAAACAGTGTCGAGTAAGGTAGACTGACTATGAAATTCGCGGTGATCTGTGGAGCACCACGATCAGGAGAGAACATACATCGGATAGTTCTGAGAAATATAAGGCCATTTACGTTCACAGGAGAGTCGATGAAGGCGAGAATGACCGACGATGCGCAATAAAGGAAACGTGAGATATCTTATGGTGCATCCCTGATTCGAGCACGAGCATCGCCGTTATAAACGACACACGTGCTAAGAAAACCGCTGTTACATAAAGCACCGAACGTGATAGGAATTTCGACTAATGTAACGAAAGAATATTGCTATACTCATTCAGACAGTTGTAACTAAATTAGTATATATAAAGTAATTAAATTGGTAATTAAATTCATCGGATTTATAGCCGCAGTGGTATTAAGAGGCTACAAAAATATGATGTGTTAATTAAAAATTTAATTTTTTTAAATTTATATATATCCTCATTTACTTTCGATATCTCCATACATTGTATTACAAAAACCGATACCGGTTGCGAGAACTGTCGTAATCAGTATATTAAATAAAAAAAAAATACATTGTAACAAGTTAAATTACTTATATACTATATATATTACGATAATTTTGCGTTCTGTTTTATCATTTGCTTTACTTATAAGTCAATAAAGACTTTTAAATATGTTTTTGTTGTTATAATAAATGAGTTTTGTTATGGAACACATTGATAGCCGGCTAAATCATCCGACTTCTGAACTTCTGATGAAGGACTTAAGTATTATATTCTATATTATAATTAACATGTTTTGAAGTTTGAACTTCTCATCTGAGAAAGATAACGTAAACAGAGTTAATTAGCAAATTGCAAAAGTGTCTCCAATTAAAACTGGGATTCCAATTAAAACTAAATTTGGCCTCTTATCTCACATTTGTTATCATCCGTTTAACTAGAATTAAATTACTTCACGAAGTAATAGAAAAGTATGATCTCTCTCTCTCTCTCTCTCTCTCTCTCTCTCTCTCTCTCTCTCTCACTTAAAAACATAACAAAAATATATAAAATTATAAGAATTATTTTTATTGCATACAGACTTTGGAACAATTTTACATATCATAAGAAATATTAATTGTACGGAATAACAAAGAGTGCGAGCTTAAAATTCATATAAAACAAATGGAATGCTAAGGATTTTCAATCAAACATATTTTCAATTATGTTCTAATTCTGCTTTCCTTTTTCTTTTTGACGATAAAATTTCATTTGATCCAATAGATCAGAAATACTTCTGATCTATTGGAAATATGACTTTTGTTCTGTCTCGTGTGGAATTTCCGCAAATGTAAATGTTTCAAGCGCTTCCATTACTTATTGTTAGAGAGATGTCATCATGGTAGTCTCATTCTCATACTTAGTTTGTGTAATTTCTGGAATATTTTAATTACTCTTTAATGCCAATGAATGCTATGGTACTGATTTCGTGATCGACATTGGATTCGGCCGATTGTGTACACGATTTTTGTTCGATGTCTATGATTGTTTAATATGAAACTCCAGCTTTTGCAAGCAAGCTTTTATTTTAACAGTTATTTTCAAAAGTTGTTTTTTATATTATAAAAGGAGAATAAACGAACGCTCATCCTTCTCGCTTTATCGCAGCGGTTCTTTAAATCCGAATACTCTTATTTCCTCCAGAAATTATCAGACATATTAAATTCCTCTGGTAACAAGAAATCTACCAAGAATATTTAAATTTGTAAAGAAATCTATAAGTTCATCTATGAATGTAAAAAGAAACGGACTAGCATTTAAACGATTACAAAGCTTACCCAACTTTTCAAAGGTGGATGTCAAATTGAAAAATAAAAGTGCAGTTTGTTGTGATTTAATTTATATTCTTGATACTCTTCAATAAAAAAATTCGTTTGAAAGTTCGACGTGCAAAAGAAAATCCATGTAAACATCCATATGTTACCGATAGAATAACAATCACTGACAAGTCCGACACATTCATAACGCATACTTGCGATAGTTTCCTAGTAGGAATATATTTCCTAGTTGATCTGATCGAACTAGTAGGAATATATTTCCTAGTTGATCTGATCGAACTATCTGGTTCCCTCCATATAGTGGCTTGCCATTCGGCACCCATCTCTGACGTTTTCGAAAGCAACTTTGAAGTTCTGCCGGGGTCCGCCATTCTTCGTCGATTATCAACCCCGAAGGTTCGAACACCACTGTAATGCAATGGCAATCTAACGAGTTTGTTCCCCGTCCAAGGGATCGCTTGTCTCCGCTTTAATTGGTTTCGTTTGGTCGCCCTCGTCGGATCTCTCTGCGCTCGAATGCTTGTATTCGACTTGAATTTTTTTCTGAGAAGACGACGGTAGAATGTTCATTTTAGGTATCACCTGGAACGATTGACTCCATGTCAATGGTTTCTTCAAGGGAGTTTCGTTTCTTGTCAAAAAATAACGAGTTTCCTCAAATGTATTCGACATTATTACTAACAATAAGAGTAACACCACCAACAAAATATTTTTTCATTGTCAATTTCCTGTTTGATAAAAAAAAAACAATAACGCTATTCTTTCAATCTCTTGAGCGTGAGACTCGCTAATACAGGATCCTTTAAACTATTTCCTTTAAAATCCTTTAAAATATTTTTTGCGCATAGAATATCAATGAAATAAAAACATATCTGGGATACATTTAAATAATATTAGAAAGTTATGTGTATATATTATTGATATGCATATACTATATACTATAATATACTTCTTTATCGTAAGGGAAATTTACATTTGGTATTCTTCTCTTGTCAACATGCTCAAAAGCACCTGTAAATATGCAACCATAACGTAGTTATGCATTGAAATAGTATATCCTCGGGCAATAATATTGGTATGCTGATATATATTTGTGTACCATACGCTTACAAATATGAGAAATATGTCTTAGCATTTTTTTCAATAATAAATTCGAAAAAATTCATACATTTTTTCCAAATCTTTCGCAGTACATTATTAACGTGTTAGTAACGTGCTAAGTCCGAAAGTTAATTTTCTTTGCTGTCATGCATTTCTACCGATTAAAGCAATCTGTTAAACAATACAGATTCTCAAAAAATTCATATTAGAATTGATTAACATACAAATATATAAAATTACGTGCGGTAAAAGTAAATAATCCTCAAGTTAACGTGTCAAGTTTCCCGAGAATGCGTTCTCGAAAGACGAGACGGTGAATGGGGAACGACGACGAGGGAAATACAATGTCCCGGAGCGGGACAAAGAACGAATCCGCGAACGGCGGGGGAGGAGGCGCCGATTGTCGAGAGGGTATCGCGAGACAGAGGAACAAGAGGAGGAAAAGGAAACCGTGGAATCCCGGGTGCACCTGGGAGTGTGCGGAGAAAGAACTCGCGAGAGAGTAGGAGGTCGGATTCCCGGCAGGGAATCTATCGGACGCGGAGGCCGGAGAGGTGAGGCGGATGAGAGACCGAGAGGTGTGTGTGGATCGTGTTTCTCGCCGCGGAGCGCACGGAGAGCGCGAAGGACGAGGAAGGCGCGGAGGAGGTAGAGGAGGAAGAACCTCCGCCGCGCCGATCTCCTCGCGGGAGCGATGGGCCACGGCCGGGGCCGGGGCCCGTCGCGAGAGCGGAGGCTGCGGTTAGAAAGCGTTCGTGCCGAGGCCGTGGCGTCTCGCCTGCATGCCATCTCCGTTCACGCGCGGTACTGCTGCTGCTGCTGCTACTACTACTACTGCTGCTCGGTGCCGTTGCCCGATTGTCCAGAATACGCACAGTGCCCGGGGTACAGTGTTGCAAGTGCTCGAGTCTGACCGACCGGTACCAGTTGACTGGCGTGGTACCAGTTGCCGCGTGTTCGCAGCCGCAGCCGCAGCCGCAGTCGCGGTCGCAGTCGCAGTCACAGTCACGCTGCGCTCTGTCACCATTAACTCGTCGCTTGTGCTCGCGCGCGTGTTCGCAGGTGATCCATCGTAGCTGCTGACGGCCGAGATTGGTTCCTCGAAAAGACGTGCGCTTGAATAAACCGGCGGAAACGCGGCTCTGAGAAAAATAGGTACGTTAGCGCGCGCGTAGAATCAAACGCGGCTCGGACAGCGCGCGGATGCTTCGGCAGGCATCGGCGAGAAAACATTTTTCAGACGTCGTTTGGACTTTTATCTCTTGTCTCAGAACGTGGACAGTTATTGAAACTTTGTCGAAGACTTTCCCATTCTATGCGTCTCGTGTAATTCAGTGACGATCGCGCGCGCGCGAGCGCGGTCATGATTGCTTGAACAGGTGCACGCATCGCACGCTATCGGTTGCAGTTTAGAAAGTGCAATGAACCGTTTCCCCCTTTTTCGTGGTTTCCGTGTGGCACTTAACGCGCACACTCGCACACGAGGATGTGCGAAGGCGAGCGCGGGCGCGCGTACTCGTGCGTGTACACGAGTTTCAAGCGCACATGACGCACATCGTAAGAAGGCGGTCCGTGTGACCGTGTCGCAGCCTCAATGCCAACGCGACTCGTACATCCATTCATGGAAAGAGCAAGATGATGAGAATATACCGTCCACCATCGTGTCGATCCACTTATCTGATTTCAAAATTCGAGAGTTTAATACAATTTAATTCACTTTTTTTAATCATATAGTACCTAAGTAAATGATTCCAAGTTTAATTTTGATAAATATGCGGATGTCTCCTAAAATTTCAAATAATAATACGAATAATAATAATAAATCTTCATAATTTAATATTAATAAATCGTTGCGGAAATATCGGACAAAGATTAACAACTGTGGCCAAATTTATTACATTTTTCCGATCTTTATTACATTCCTGGGAGATTGTTGTGTTTTCATCAAACTATACAAAAGGATTAACATGCCTTTCGATATCTGCTGTATATAAGTTTAAATGTCCAAACAATAATTCATTCCGCGAAGCTGAAACATCCGCGTAATTATAATTGTGGGGATTATCTTGCGAAACGGATTAGAATGGAATAGATCAACGGGATATTTCGTTAGCTTCCAGACCGACCGAGAGGAGGTCACGCATCGGGTGGACGACGCACGATCTCACCGTCTTCTTTTCATTTCCCTCGAGGGGCCACGCCGACCTCTCTTTTACATTCGAGGATTCAAACGAGATCCGATCGCACGGTCAAACGCAGGAAACACGCCGGTTGCGGCAGGTCGCGAAGAACGGATTTGAAGATGTCCTACATTATCTGATCTTAACGATGAGAGGAACCACTCTGGACGAACGACTTGACTAGAAAAGGAGAGGCCTGGGAAGCTACGGGAAAAAATGGGTCAAGCGTGGTGCAAGGAGAAAACCTCCAAGGCCCAGGACTCCAAATCACCGTTGGATCGGGTCTTCGTACGATGCGCGCATCGGGTATGTTGCGGAAACATGTTTCACTTCTTGCTCGAACAGTTAATCGATAATTAATCTTGTGTTTGTGATCGATGACGCGTGAATGATTCGCTAACAAGCTTTGCGTGTGCGAATGTAATTTATGTAAACGCTCGCGATGAAACCTCATGAATATTTTGCTCCAGTTTGAGAATTATTTGCCTCATTTTATTTTGTGAATTGGATTTTACGTTAAACGCTTTTTCCCACTTAATATTTATAATGCGTATTTACATATTATATATAGGTACGTAAATATATGTCAAAAATAATCATCTGAACTTTCATATTGACCGCTTTAAGATCAAAGTTTAACTGTTATAGCGAAGTCCAGACAATTGAATTCTTTGACTTTTAGTGTTAAATTCTGCAGGGAATATAGCGCCCGACTTTCGCGGCAATAATCTAACTTGTTTAACTATGCGATGACTATCGTATTTGTGACGTATCACGAGAAACATCTGTTTGCCATATAATTTTACGGGATCATTTACGCGCGCCGGTCGGTCGTCTCCAATGTAAGCGATGAGAAGCGCGACGGTATGAAAATAAAAAGAGCATACAGAGATGCGATCGCTGGTTTCCACGTGCACTTTAAACGGATACGGAGTTGCGCGTCCTCGTTATTATATAATGTATATATATATACACACACGTGCACACGTGCAGAGCGCTCTACGCTCGGATGCACGAATCTGCGAACGCGTGCTAGGCGTGCGCGCCACGCTAATTTGGAATCTCGGGTATGCGGATGCGATCGCAATTACTAGCGATTCGCTGCTTTTACTTGTGATAGCGCAGAAACGATAAATTATATTTAAAAAACTGATATGCGCGATTTCTCAGCGAAAAGTTGAGATTCGACGCTATCTTCCTCGTAATTTCCGAGAGACGATATTCAGTTCCGGATTTAAATCGCATCTCGCGATTTAAATCCGGAGTTGCGGTATACATAAAATCTATATTTTCTGAATAATAAAATTTATATGCTATTATATTATCGTTTTCATCAATCTTGTTTTGATACGCGCGATCTCATATTTATTTTAAAATTCACGGTGACGATGTTTTTGCTTCCGCTCAAGGGCGAGTGGCAATATATTAGGCGCGTTAAAAAGCGATCGCTTTAGAACGGCGCAGATGGTCATCGGTAGATCGCGTTCGCGAGAGAGACGTATATAACTCACGTGTAGTGTACAGCCAATTAGATAAGGCGTGATAAGTTCGGTGTTAAACGAAAAAAAAACGCAGCGTGCGTCAAGGATTTCTTGTGTAAGAAATGGTACGAGAGAGGAAAAACCAGGTCACGAAGTCGTTATTGGACACTTCTCATTAGTTTTTGTTTTATTCATATCGAAAAAAACGATTCAATTCGAACATTAGATAATTATCGCGGCCTTCGTCGCAAAATAGGGAAAAACGGTCCGTGATGTAAATGCAAATGTTATTTCTATCCGAATATCCTTGTTTCTTCTTTCCGTTCGTATATTTCCACAGCGTAACTTCCTATTTTTGTACCGAAAAAATCATGCAAATTACACAGATTGCATATACTAACGTAACAGCCGTTGTATCGCGCTCGATAATTTGTCTGTACGTTTGTATATACGCTAACGTATTTTTCTTCTTGACGATCACGCTCCAAATTGCCAAACATGATTGACAAACAGTCGCCTCGAGCACCTGCACCATCGGAGCCGAATCACGAATCACCGAGGTATATTTTTAGACGCGATTAAATTGCCTACCTTTATATGATATGGGTCGCGAACGCGCGTATTATTCATCTTGTGTACTAACCTGTATGTACCTCGTCGCGTGTCGATCCGCGGCATTCCGGATTCACGTCGTGTACGCCATATTCACGGTAAAATCGCGGGATTGATATGATATCTGTATTTGCACAATTGCGTTGTTCCTGCGGCATATATGTACATTGTACATGTACGTCTTAGCCGGGACCTAGAAACTGAGACTTGAAACCGGTACAAACACGGAACGCCTTATGCCTCACACGGATTATCTAAACACGAAGCTTCAACGGCGCAATTTAGACCGATAAATATTCGCTGTGCAACTTTGTCTCGACCACTTTTAGTTTGCTGTTATCTTTATTGAGGGTAAGTTAAGATTACTATCGCGTATGATTACTGACCGTTCCAGGGTGGGTCGGACCAACTCTAGTTTCCGGTCTTTACCACCTTATCGCACTCGACATTCCTAGCTTGCAGGTATGACTCAAAAAATATGCCTTGCTGATTCGTATACATGTACATACATATGCGTAGCTGGAAAATGGTGAACAACTCGAGTCACAACCTTGCAAAGAAAAAAAAAGAAAAAAAATTTTACACTAATATTCTATTTTTAAAGGACTGTTTCACACTTTAAAGAATCATTTTCGAGTAAGAATATATAAATATCTTGTTGGTTCTACATTTCTTATACAATTCAAATTTTTTAAACATTTGGCTCGCAAAATCCGCATATTGTTTAACAAGAATAATTTAATAATATTAATTTCTTATACCAATTTCTCTATCGGTTTGTTTATAACTAGATTTACATTACATTTGATGATACATCGGCTCGAAAAAACCTCGATAAGTCGATCTAGTTTGAATTGTTAATTATATTACTAATATCAGACTGTTATGCATGAGCTCATCGAAATGGAAAACGCAATGGCCTTAGCGACGCCCGCTTGTGCAGAGTTGCGTATATGTGTGCGTACACCGTGTATGCGAGAAACATGTGAATACAATTACGTTCGCGTGATATACACTATATACTTGTGATTGAAGCACCGGTACTTAGTAGCGATCTAGCAGCAGAATAAAGATTACGTAAAACGTGGAATCGTATCTGTATGTGCAGTGTGCCACCGCGATAGTCTTTTTATACGCTAGCGAAACAAACGGTATTTACATATCAGTAGATTTTTTTGCGGCTTCTTATGAATTCATATAAAATATATCTCTTCCGGAGAACGCGTTACACTTTTCAGTGATATACGAAGTTGGCTGAAATATATTGATAAAATTTACGAATTTTTAAACGAGATTAATACGACATTCTGCAGTATGATGTCTAATTAACTAAAAGTTGACACTGAAGGCTATAAATCTTCTTACATAAATTTACATACGATGACGAAGTATGTAAATATTTGCAACATTAATTCTGTTAAAACGCTGAATTGATCAGTCAGTGCAAATAAAGCTGCCACTTTTAATTTGGTATCTTTAATTTTAAAAAATTTTGATTATTGGGGTGATTGATAACTGACACATAATTGTTTATATTACGCAGCGAAGCAAATTACACGTTACAGAATCAGTTTTATCTTTTATTTTAGAAAGAAGTATTATATATATTAATATTTATAAGTTTCTGCTTTTATATTACATAAACAAAACTACACAAACTGTATTATATAGCTGAATTTATAATCAAACCGGGCAAATTCGTTAGATACTGAATGTAATCTAATCTTGAAAATTTGGCATTCTCGTTGGATTTAGTTAGATAATCTTGCGATCAAAAAAGACAATCACACCTTGGCGACGCAATCGCAGCTTCACGGAGGTAGACGTTGGCCGATCGACCTACGCTACTGTATTATTAATAGATAGTGAAAGTTACATTAGATATTTGTGCAGGAACCCAGAAAATTGCCCACTGTCACGAAGATATAATAAAACTTTGGTAATAACCGGTGCCGTAATGCGCACAGATTTCACGCTAGGTCTCAACTTCTTGCCGCATTGACATTTGCCGAAACAACCGTCGTGCAAAATGCACTTGCAAACGATAGAGGATCTCTCCTCCAGCGTACTAAACTCGTTAGATTCATTTGGTCTCGCAGGAAATCCACACTTCTTTTGCATGCACGCACGCGATTAAATTCCTGGCGCCAAAAGTTACGCAAGAGTTCTCGTCAAATTATCGCGAGAAATCCTTCGCAATCGGAAATTTAATTTATACGAGACGAGACTTCAACTTTACAACGACAAGTTCAACGCGTTTTACGCAATTGTAATTACAATTGTAATTTTCCAACAAAATATTGAGCATTATTTTATTTCTACAAGAAATGAAACGAACGGCACCAATTCGCGTCACCGGTATCATCGACCACACACTTTTGGAAATGGTCGGACGGCAGCCCCGGGAGACCAGGCGAATGCGTTTCGCGAATAACATTTCACTGAAACAATGCTCCTGGTCAGTGGCGACCCGGGTTCTGGTGCGGGAGAGGCGTAACTTAATCGGCAAAATAACTTTTGCCCACCAACTCGCCGGGCAACGTGTCGCGCGCGAGAAGTTTCCCATACAAATTTGCAATGTAAACCGCGCCTGGAGGAACGATCGCACGACACGTGTACGATTTCCAAAGGGCTCTGTTCAGCATACGTGGATATACACTTACATACGGTAAAAGGTAACATCGCTCGTCTCACCGTGCCGCGCGAGATCGATGCAAGGACGACGCTTCTCTCATCCCGTTTAATCTCGTTAACGCCCTATTATTTGCCGCGGCACTTACAACGTATCTATATTACACCGAAGCTCGATATCGTTTCTCCCTCTCCTCCCCCCCCCCCTGGCTCGTTTACTTGCGATTAACCTGTCATGGACCGAGTTTTAATTCGTTGTTCATGTTTGTCGTAGCAGAATCGCCGAGGGCTTGGTTTATTTACAGTTCAGTTTACGGATTGTGTACAAAAAAAAAGTTCAAATGGAAAAGCTTTTCACAATGTTTCTTGTTAATAATCTCGTAATTTACAAAAAAAAAATTCATTCTTCTTTTTTAGGGAAATAAAAATTTATTTATTATAACAGCTATAAATAAAAAGGGAAAATCATACGCGTCCGTTCGCTCTTCGTTTTTGGATGCGAACAGAATTGGCGAAAAATGACGTTTGGTCGGAGATCGTCTGACGCGTTCGAATTGCCAAAATCATCGTGGCGTTAAGGGAACGACCTTCCCTGCTATGCGCTCGATTCCGATCGATGTTTTATCTGTATTCATTTTTTTTCTCCCTCGCAAATAAATCGAACAAAACTTAGCGTTCGAAATATCATTCACGCCCAATCGGAATAATATATCTTGCTTTTTCATTAGCTCCAAGAATTATAAAAAGGCTAAATATAGTAAAATTGTTTTGCAGGATTTTATTTTAAAAATATCTTTTAACGTAGCGTTGAGCGTGACATTCGCACGAAGTATCGTTGATACGTATAGGAAATAATTGTTCAACATGCTGAGAACGCTCGACACGTCACATGGGCGAGTCATCTGGGATATCTCGTAGCCGAAGGCCGATCGTAAAGACGACGAAACAGTATTGAGCTCGCCGGTACTTATATACTCACACATCTTACACGCCATCGTGTTTTCGCGTCCCGGGAGGATACAAAAGGTATTATGCAACGCGATTCGCACAGGATGGCCGCTGATTGTGTAATCCTTCGACAAGAGTGTCAGGGACCAAGTCGTGTTTCCGTTAAGCTTATTGCTCGTGTCGTCTTCCCGGGACATTCCACTAAATTGAAAGATAACGCAAGCGTTTGGAAATCATTATCGTTGCAAATCACTTGGCGAGTTCGCCAACATATTCTAGAATATAAAATTAACGTAATTCGTCTATTAAACGGATGCCTCTAATTTCTTTAACGCTTCTTATGCTTCTAATTTCGTTAATAGTTTCTAATTTTATCGAGAAATAAGTGTAGCTATAGCGAGCTAACTCTAATTGAATACAGAAAACGTTAATTGGATACTAATTGCGTTCAAGTTTTAGTTTAGTTTTAATTTTCAAGTTGTATGCGCGTCTCATTGAGAGATACTTTTAAAATTCCGCTCGTCTAAAATTTCTTGAATAAGTACCTCTTCCTCCTAAGCAAAATTTTACGCAATATTTTAATGAAAATGCCATTTTTCAAAGTCAAATCTCTTGTGAGCAATATCTTGCAACGAAGAATTTCGTTTGCTCCGAAAGAATTATGAGAGTCATCCTCCAACATTTTAGAGCGCCGAGATTTCAGAATTGCAAGAGTAAGCTGAAAGAAAAAAATTGATGCAGCTACTTTATCTACAAGATTTACGGGCGATCTTTAATCCACCAGTCGCAAAAATGGATTTTTGCGGTCGCAGACTTTTCAAAAAGGATTTCTAGGGTACAATCGGTTGCGTCTATGGCGTTTTCGGTCGAGTAAACGAGCCGATGAGCCAGGTAATGCGAATTAGCTTAATCGGCTCCCCATGCGATCGATTCGACGATCCTTCATCCACCTCGCGTCTCAGCACCCGCCTGGAGAATTGCCCTCGCATTCTCCTAACCTAAGGGCGCGTCGAAGTAATTATGCTGTTAATGACTTATTAATTCTCGATGGTGCTAACTATAAGCTATCGACAAAACAGAATCGATATAATCATCTTGCTTAATCTCATGCAATTACTTCATTGTGATATTACAAATTATTATTTTTCACTTTAAAATTAATCGCTTACAATAGCACCCAAAATCTGAATAAGCGATGTTTTAATTTCTTCATCGTATTTTACAGATAAACTCATCATCAAAGTGCTGCTTGAGTGATCGGAGTAACGCGAAAAGTGTTTTCTTTTCTCTAGTAAAATTATCATGAAAATGTGTAACGTGTTCTCTTCAGATCCATTCAGAATTCATCGAATTCAGAAATCACTATTTCTTTGCTTTGCATAGATTTTTTAATAATATTTTATATATATTTCTATTTTCCTCACGATGTTCTAGACATGTTTATTCTTAATGAGAACACATATACATTTCACAATAAAAACGGTATTTTTTTTTCTGCATTCAAACGTTCATAGTAAAGTAGAACGGCAAGTGTAACACATTCACACTTATTTCTGTTGCAGATTTATCCAAGTTTAAAGGAGGAAGGCTCGGTCTTAGGAGGTGCCACGCAGAGAGTTACGAGGTACGAGGCCTGTTTCTTCTTTTTTTTCCCTACTCGTGCATTTCGCGATTGCGATTCGTGGAAAGCAGCACGCAAGCTTTATCGGACCCAGTATAACAGGATTTCAGTGTCGCTTTTAAGAGTCACCTCGCTCTGTAATTTCGCTGACGGTTATTGCCAAGAGCGCGCATCATCGTTGCTGTTAATTGCGCGAGAACGTCGGTCAGAGATAATCACTTAGAGGCGGTCGGGGAATATAATTCGTGCGACCATATTAATTCCGGAGAGATACCTGAATTGATAGAAAGTGACGCGGTGAGATATGCTCTTTCCTGGTGACCCACGAAAAATTGTATTACCGTTAATGCAATTAATTCTGTCGTAAATTCCACTCACTCAAGAACTAGGAAGTATGTATATTACAAAAGAATTTATGAAAGGAGGTCCGCTAATTTGAGCTGGACAATGGACTTGATGGCTTATTGGCTTAATGGACAAGTAATCGCGTTATACACGTCCATTTTCCGCCAATCTTGGAACACTCGGTACGAAAGTTATATATTATGGATACAATTGGACACATCATCGGACAACGTTACGAGGCGTATATCAGGCAATTACTTCTCTGATGATATAAACGATGATATAACATTAAAGAAATGTCGTGTAGATAGCAGATATCTTATAATTAAAATAAACGACGCTATCTTTTCGACACGCAATAGAGGCACGTGGTATCACGATTATGATCCGTAGGTCATACAATAAATCGCGATATATCGCACCATAAGGAGCGAAGAACGCAATTTCCTGATGCGACGACAACAGCCTCGAAGTGAAATCTAAACGACCTAGCGCGCGTAAGCGTCATCGTCGAAGGTGAACCTAACTTTACAATGAATTGAGAGAGGTGGCGGGCTCGACCTTAAATGGTCACACTCTCGTGTCAGAGAATGGCGAACACTGCGTCGCACCCGATAACGCAATTTTATTTCTGCCTCGCCACTTTTCGTAATTGAATCATACGGTGCTCACGAGCGCTACAATTGGTTCGTCGATCTTGAAAGAAATCGAAATAGCTAACATTTAGGCACTCAATCATTTTTTTTTTAATATCGAAGAAGCCAGGTTGTTTTTACTTTGAATTTTTGTACACTAATCTACAATTTGAATTAAAGAAATAATAAATCACTCTTTAATAAACTTTGATTAATTTTTTTATACTGATGTCAAAAAAGGCTTCTCTTTCTTTTTAAATAAAGAAACAAGAATTGCTCGTTATTATTTGATTTTTTGAAGCATTCCCTTTTTATTACGTAAAATGTTCTACACTTTGATATTCTATAATAGAACCATATCTTTCTTTTTTAGCAGAATTAGAACATTTTAGTAGCAGACTGTAAATACTTAAAATAATAAAAAAAGTTTGTACGAAATATTTATCTCATCATCCTGCTATAATTTTTCTTTATAATGTACGGAAAATTATATTGATAATTTAATGTGCGATATTCGGTTCGGCTGAAACTGAATTTCGGATTATTGTAATGTGTCGATTGCGAGAAGAGAGGAATCAAATTTCGATAGAGGAATATTTTTGGAGCTCGAACACGTTACATGTAAAATGCGCGGTGCGTTGCGGGCAGGACGGTGGTCCCCTGGTTCTCTCGTTACCGTGGAAAAGGATCTACGCCGTGTGACAGGTTTATCCTATATTCAGACAGCTTTTAGGCCGTGTGACAGTGAATCCACACGGCGATGATCGAGCGTGGGTCGACCGCTTTAGCTTGTTCTCATCCTACGCCTCATTCCACCGATTCCTTTTTAAGGTCAGTAGACCATCTCTGGACTCGCAGGTGCGAAAGTCTAAAAACTACTGTGTATCTACGAAAGCAAACATGAGAGTCTGACATTATCGAATTTCATATATTTATGCCATTGTAAAAAATCAGAAAAATAAGCTGTAGAAGTTGTGAAATGAAAGCTTTTTGAGCTAAACTGATGCTTTCAATTATAACGATAAAAATGCGATAAAGGGGCAATCTGTTATTTTAATCTAAACTTATACATTTCTCTCTCTCTCTCTCTCTCTCAAAAAAAATAATTTTTACATGATTTTAATTTCTCAGATACGTGATTTTAACAACGGTTATAATACTAAAAATTCTCTAATAACTAATACCATATGTTAATCTCAGTAATTTATCTATAGAAATCTAGACAGGAACGTGCGGCAAGTGACCTGCTTGTTATGTGTATTTTGCGATTTATACTAGATTTTACTACTGTTTAATTATATCTGTTCAAAGGAATCTACTTTCTCTTCGATCTTTTTTTTTCTTAAACCGTGTGGTGTACGCGTAGTTACGTCAATTAAATTTTTTGCCTTGCTGGGAAAACGATTAAATCGATCGATAACTTTGCCGCGGTAGTAGCGATAAGGCGATTGGCTCGCTATCTCGCGCATGACGAGTTAATATTTCTAATTTATTGTCGTCAAACATATCATGTAGTTACACAAGCATTCCTCTCGTCTCATGTTACGATCTATAGTACATGAGTATTTGAACTATGTGTACTTATACTTCTGATATATAAGTGTACAATAAGTAAAGGCAAACTTATCGAAGACTCTTTAAAGATTTTAGACAGATATAGATTTCAATTTAACGTTTCTCGTAATTCGTTCAATATTTTTTAAATGTTTATAGATGAATTTATATGTTTTAATTTATTAAAACATTTTTTTTTAGCTTGGACCAATACATTTGTCCTACATTTTATTTTCGCGTGACTAATAAATCATAACTTCTATATGGAAATAAAAATATTTCAATTAATTAATACTACAGCCTTTCAACACTACTTGTCATATTTACAATATTTAAAAAAATAATTTTCTAGTTAAATCCCGAGAAATTAAAAGTAACATATGTAATAGTTTTTAGATAAAAAAAAAAGTATTTTTCAAATTTACATGTAGTGCGACAATGTTAATTGTCAATTTCAATCTGCGCGAGTTATCGACGGCGAAAGTTTATTTCATCGATGAAATTTATTAAAAACATGTCCCGTATAACAAGTGAAACGAGTAGATATACGTTGTAAAATTACGTAGTAATTTCACAACAGTTTCGTAACTAGCAAGATATTCTTTATAGCGCATCGTTAGGCTGCCCGACGTTGAATCAGTGTTTATCATCAGGCCGTAATTAATGATGTAGATAGTACTGTTTATTTTCATATTAAAGCCGGTAGAGGTGAAATTAAGCGATGAAAAAATGCGTGTTTAAGGTAATAACATTTTATCGTTGATCACCTCGCGTGTTATTAGCAAAAAATTGCAGAAGGGTGTAAAATCCTGTAAAATCGCATTGACAAATCTCTTGACATGATACAAATCGAACCTTAAAAATTGCCGATTGAAACGTGTTGATAATAATCACGCACATTTAATGAATCTACTCTGACGAAACGCGCACACAATGGAGATATGCTTATAATAATCCGCTCGCCGGCACGAATTGTTGCAACAATGTGAATTTTAATTCACTTGAGCCCACAAGAACAACGAGGATGATCATTTCGCGTAAATTATTCGCGCACGCCGAGGCATAAATTACGATGCACCGGCTCGTATACATGTGCGCGGGTTAACATAGTAAATAAACTGCACATGTCACTCGCTGTTACGACCCCTCGCTACAGAACGAGCAATTGTGTTCACATATATTGATATCCATTAAGTGTAGGATCGAACACCCCGATCAATCAGTTATTCATAATATTTCCTACCTATTAAAATAGGAATAAAATTTATTTTTTATTTCCATTAGTTTTATCTCGTTCTAAATAAAAAATTATTAGCATTTATTACTAGTTTCTTTTTCTAAAGAAAAGAATTCTTATTATAATTTATTTAGTGATTAAAGAAGTGTAATTTTTGTCATGTTATATGCTCCATATTGCTGCTAGTTCAATGTAAGTAAATCACTGATAAGAGATGTTCTGGCGAGACGAACGAAATTCTTCCTTCTTTGTAGATATTTTGAAATCGTTCGCGTGCACCGGGGGTATTTTGTACGAAGTTGAAAAGCACTCTCGTGCACGAGCAGGAGACTGTATGAGAGAAATTCCGGTAATGTTTCGCGTCCCGAAAGAGTTATAGCTCAAGGGACGCGAAGAAACACGGAATGCATTTGCGATAAACCGTATAAGCTACGTAGCGCCGTAGCGATTCCGGATTATTTCGGTGCACCAAGCTGTAGTTTTTGATGGACACAAATTGTTTCGAAAGTGGCACAGAATTAACAGTCGATTGCTTGCACATCCGCGACATTAACGAAAGAATGCGAATTTATTCTCGTATCTTTCTTTCTTCTCTGCAGATTCCTTTGCCTCGCAAGAAGCTACATAATGAAATTCGAATAATAAAAGTCCCTAAACAATACAGAACGATTCAGTTTGTGTATCATTTCAATGATAAATATTATATAACAGTAGAAGATAAAGTGTGAATGGATAAGTGTGGTTAAGTATTTTATTGTAAACCAAGTCCTTTTTTGGCAGTGTAGAAACTGAAGTAAATAAATATCTATTTATATAGCAGTAGAAACAAATTATTACATTTGAAAAAATACAGATTTAAATCCAACCAATAAAAACATTTTTCATATCTACTTGAAAATTATCGATATATCCTTTAAAATTTTGGTTTATTGTAATTTAAAAAAAAAAAACATTTTTTTTTAATCTATCAGAAACTATTCTTGATATTTTTTTGAAAAAATTCATTTCAGTTCTCAATGAAGATAATTTCTATATTATATGTACAATTATATATATATATATATATATATATATATATATATATATATATGCGAGTATGTACAATACATGTACGTATAACGCACATACACATACAGGCATGTATAGTGTATATGTATTATTTTTAGTTGCAGCAAGACTAGTCGCCATAAAGTATCTAATTAGCTACAATGCAAGAATGGTGCCGCGCGCGATTATCACTGACGTTACTAATTATGTTATATAGGAATAGATATAAAAGAATAA